TTGGCCGAATTTGGCCGTGAGATGGCGTGTGTTTGGCCGTGAAGCCTGTCGACTATCTGGCAACCCTGGCCGGAAGAAGCAATGTGGCAGTACCGACGATTTGTTGGCGTACCTAGCAAAGTCCTAGCTAGCTCATCAAGTAAACCACATAAAGTCTATAGAACAGTGAATCATGGAAACATTAGCAAATTCATCCACGTTGTGTTTTGATAAACACCAGTTTATGAAGGTAACGTATTAATTTTCTTTGGTATAATTTATTCTAGGCCAGTGCCACTACCTCCCACGGTCTAGGCCTAGACATGAATAAGCCTAAGAAGGCCTAGGGAGGACCTGCTATGCCTGGCCTACGGGAGCTCGCGGCCGCTTCGACCCATACTCGGCAAGGCCCAGCTAGCAAGAGAGCTTGCAGAGTATGTGTCAAAGCTGCCAGGCATAGCAGGTCCTCCCTAGACGTGAAAGTAGCCCTAGCTGCCAAAGGTGCTTCTGCCTTCATCAAATATAGTTTGTTTCATTGTCATAAAAAATAGAAGTAAAAAAGGCAAAAGAACAACAACAACAACAACAACAACAATAATAATAATAATAATAATAATAATAGTATAATTTAATATAACATACAAATTCAATAATAAAAAGATTGGGGGCATGATTTCACACTTAAGTTTGGGGCATATAGAGTCCAGAGTTTAATAATATTTAATCATAATGATTTGAGTTCTATGTAGGCCTAGGCCTAGCCAAACATTGAATTTGATTTGGGATGTTTAATTTTCTTTATGCATGTCATTCATTTTCAGGAAGATTTTGATGTTGATGAATTCGTTGCTGATTGTCGTCGTCGGGTACAACTAGAGCAACTTAGAGAAGATCTTGATGTCTACTTTCGGTCATTAAAGAATGCTATGGTGGAATTGATAAACAAGGACTATGCAGACTTTGTGAATCTTTCTTCAAATTTGGTAAAGCCCTCTTTAAATACTGTATATTGTCTTTGTTGCATTAATAAACTTTAAAGTCAGTATGTTAATTGCATGCTGTGGTTAATGTTCCAGCAAATCTAAAATGTTGATTGGTGCAGTGAAGATTGCTTGACCTTCACCTCAGACTTCAGTCTCGCTATTTATTGCACAACAACATGTCATATAATCACTGTTGTTTGTAGTCAAATCTCTAATTTACAATACTCTGAATTACAATCCACCATTCTAATTTTCTTTCCCCAGTCCCAACCATGGTGGGCTGAGGTGCGTTTACCCTCTATCTCTGATAGTTCCCTCCCTCGGCCCCACTGTTTGGAATTCCTGGATCTGCCACTGACATTCGACAGCTGATGGACCTTATAGTAGGTGAAAAAAAATGTGTTTTGCCCAAACCAGACCTACCAAACTTCTCAAAAATCTACGTTCAGCTTTGTTTTTTAAAATTAGTATATTTTTTCATTAAGGAAAAAAAAATATAATTGTAAGATATAACATGTCAGAGGCAGATCCAATTTCTTTTTTCAGGGTAGTACAATACAAGTGAAAATCATTGACCTATTAAAGGCCCAAAGGAGGTGTAACATATGGTCAAAAGAGGAAAATTTGGGGGGTGTTCTCCTAACTGTTTTGGGGATCACAGGGATTCTATTCTTTCTGGGAGCTTCAAAGTATTAGCCATTTTAATTTCTTATCTAAATGATACCACACTTATTAGTAATTATTGATTGCTGCCGGGAGAGTGAGGGGTGAGCACCGCTTTTGCCACCACCTGGATCGGGACTGCCACTGCTTGCATAACTCAATACAATCTTAACTTTATTACTTATCATAAATACAGGTTGGAATGGACAAAGCAATCAATAGTCTAGCGATACCTTTAGGGCAACTGCGGGAAGAAGTGTTGGTGAGTAATACTTGAATTTTAAATCGACTGCACAAAAATTGTTTAAATACATAATTTTAATCACTAAATTCAGGCCTGCTAAGTAGAAGCTATAAGAATGACACATTTAGAAGAAATTAGTTTTGTTGTAAGAAATTATTTTTTGGTTGTAGAGTGTTAAGTCAGTAATGGAGGATGCAGAGAAAGCTGTACAGCAGAAGTTATTAGCAAGAGCTAAGATCAGAGAAAAGAAGGTACGATAGATTACATCCTGCTTATAAAAAAGGTGTGATGTGGAAGTCCAAAGGACTACCACTTGGCCTTGTATAATAGAGTATCCAAACAGTAAATAAAGGGTATTGGGTTTGATTCTAAAGAATTACTTTAGAATTACTGAGAGAGCAGCATAGCTCAGTAGGTTAAACATGTGGTAACCACTGTTTTGAACCGTGGAGATTGTTAAGCTTTGGTACCCGGTTCAGTTCCATCTGCTGTTCTCCTTGAGTTTAAGTTGGATGGCTGAAATGCAAATATAAAAATCATACCATCTTTTGGAAGAGACTGTGGTATTTAAGCCATTGGTCCTTTGTGAAATATAGCACATGCGAGTGTTCTAGAATGCAGTACTCTTTAGAAAAGAGTAGGAAATTGTCTTCCGGTAATACTGCCCAATCACTATTATTTTACTAATCTAAGCTGCTCTTTAATCCTTAATATATTTCTTCTACAATATTTTAAAGGCATGTTTGCAGAGACTAATCAACATCAACAAATCCGTTGAAAAAATGGAAGTTATTCTTGGCATTCGTGGATCTGCTGAAGGAATTGAAAATGATGACGGAGAAATGTAAGTGTAGAATTTGTATTTAATGATATTTTTTATTTTAAAAAACTAAATTATTATTGCCAATAGATCTTGTGGTCTGGAGTTCAAACCACATGCTGCCATTCTTGTCCGGCCATGTTTATATACATGTATGTCCATATATGGTTATATGTTGGTGGGCTAGCTATTTTGCATCCCTATCTGCAAATATTTCTTGGCTTCCTAATATAATTGATAAAGAGTATCTCCCTTACCTAGAAGTGGCTTCGGGTGGTGGGTTAAGTTTGTCCATTTTATTACTATCTTCTACCTTTCAAAATATTCACCTCTTTGTGTACGACTCAATTTCTATTCTGGTTTCTAGCGAGTTGACTGGGCAGCAGATTGAGAGAGTAGCTTCTGAATTTAATCAACTGCAGTACTATGTAACGCAGAGTAAAGGCTTGCCTCTTGTTGAAAAGATCAGACCAGTAAGGGAAAATTTTTTTTTTTTTTTAAATTATTGATTTAATTAATTGACATTTTACTGAAAAGATAATATAAACATATTTTCACAAATCGCTTTTTTAAAAACAGATCGCCCTCCAATTTGAGACCACTTTTGAGATCTGTCCCCGGATTTATCAATCTTAGCTTAGAAAATGTCTTCAGTCAAAAATTTAAGATGTCCCTAATAAGTATCTTAAGCTGATTTATTACCTAATCTTATTAATCTTGGCTTAAAAATCGTCTTAGATGGTGCCAACATACAATTAAATTTCTGATTTTAAGCAATATTTAAGCTAAGCAATATGGATAAATTTGACTTAAGCAAAAAAATGGACTTAAGACGAATTTAAGCTGAATTCTAGTTTGATAAATCTGGCCCCTGAACCTTTTGGGTGGTCTCCGGGTTCGGTCTCCATTTAGATTGTTAGCTTGTGTTAAAGGTTGAAGATTGTTATTTGGTTCATTTAAAGATTAGAGAGGTCTCAAAATTGTAGGGTGCGCTGTATTGTATTATTGTGGTATTATTAGTATTATCTATAGTTTTTAAATTTTATTAAGGTTATTTTCTATTAGCATCATTATTATTATCATGATTGATTCAATATTTTTCACATATCATATTTTTATTATTTATTTATGTCAATTTTATTCTATATTGTTTAATCTACAGAGAATTGCGGCTATTACAGTCACATTGCAACACAGTCTGGAGCGTATGTTCAAAGAAAGTTTGGAGACAGGAAATGTTGATATGCTACGGCAGTGTCTACGCACATATGGAACGATTGATAAGATGCGTGATGCAGAGGCACTATTCCGCAAGGTGTCTGTAAGCCCATATATGGCAGAGGTTAGTTCTGATATTGACTGTGAATAAACTTCATGCAATAAATAGCATCAACATTTTTTTTCTCAGTATGTTGCCTCTATTTCTTCCTGCAACTATTTAGCTGGGCATGTGCTGTCCAGGGAAAACACAATGTGACAAGTCATGCACAACAAGGCATATTCAAATTATCATATTGATGAAGATCCACTCAGAGTGTCACTGACAATCAGCAGGCAGCATCAAGCTCTCACAGATAGTGGAGGTCACGATTCATCTGCCAACAGTCATACAACCAAATATGTGAACAGCTTAACACATGTGCACTGCTAAATTTATAATATTGTTTAAGTGAATGTATACAGTATATTAATTCCATGCTTTTAAGAAAATTGTTCAAAATATTTATACTTCCTGCTAATTTTAGTAATTATTTGCTAAAACTTTTTACAGGTTATTAGTGAACGATTTATACAGACAAACCCACAGGGACTGAAGGGCCTGTTCAGCAAAGTAATGGAGTTCATTCCTAAGAGCTGTGGTCTTATACGAGAAGTCACATCACCCTTGTTCAGGTAATATGAGACAAAAATGAATTCTTTTAACCAGTAGATTACAATACTTATTTATTTATTTATTTTATAACAATCGTCCAACAGGAACTCTTCATTCTCACTTACAAGCGAAAATTGCAATAAACATAAAAAATATAATCAATACAATAAAATCACAAGATATAAAAAGATAATTATTATTAATAATAATACAGTATTTTTGTAAATTAATAATTCCAATAATCAAAATAGGTGCTGGGACTTTGTCTTAAAGCATACTGATGAGACAAAATATTTCAAACTTGTGAAAATTGATCCTAATAATAAAATATTACGTCTGTTGAGTCCAATTTTTAGCTAACTATTACTTGTTTTCTTTTAAATAGTTCAGGAAGTGAAAAGGTAGTCGGCGGATACAACTTCATGGTGAATGCTGTTTGGCCGGAAATTGTTAGCAGCCTTGAAAATCGTGTGGCATCTATCTTCGCTCCTGGCAATCCTGATGCCTTCCATCAGGTAAAGAGACACCCCTCCAAAACCTTCCCTCCTGCTCGCATCTGCGCAAGCTTTTTGTGGGGGGGCGTGCGTGGAGATGATGTTTTCAGTATTTGTTAAAATTGAACCCAAGATCCTGGGATTAGAAGGTGGTCATCTTATCCACCAAACCACAGCCTAACAAACATTTTTCAATAATACATTTTTACAGAAATACCTGATAAGCATGGAGTTTGTTGATCAGTTTGAAAGAGAGTGTGGCTCTCAAACCAGCGTTAAGCATCTACGAGCTCATCCAAGCTACAACACATTCATGTCTAAATGGAGTCTGCCTGTCTATTTCCAAATAAGGTAAAGATTAAGAATTGAATTTTATTATTCTTAAATATAATATATATTTTTAATATTATAAAGTGAATAATTTTGTTGATGTTGAGGTGCCATTCCACCATTTATCTTTCCAGAATTCACCATTCTGGGAATTCCCCATTCCAGATGTCGTTGCTCAGGACACCAGTTGTACAAAGCACTATTATGAATGTCATTGAGCCTGTGCTATTTTTTATATGCCTGTGAGAGTATGCAAACATCATATTATTCCAGGTGTTATTAAAATTTTATTTTATTTATTTTAGATTTCAAGAAATTGCTGGTTCAGTTGAGATGGCTCTGATGGCCCCTTTCAATGCATCTACAGGTAAGCACATATTCATCGGTGTGTTTTGTATTCAGTGGCGTAACACCTATTGGCTGTCAGGGTGAAGGACAAAGACCCCGGGGGCCCCATTGCTTATTGTATAGCCTGGTTTCCATACAATCGCTGCGCAGTTGCTACAGCATTTTCACTGCAACCTTCGCACTGCCTAGCTGTCCATGACGCAATCAGGAACGCTTCCTGATTTAACTGATCAGTCAGCGTCGCCAAAGAAGTCGTTGGTAGCTTGTAGTGATATTTATGAAAACTAGGCTTTATACCACTGGCTCTAATCTGCCATTTTTTTTATGTTAAAGATATGAAATATAATTATTTTTGATTTACAAAGCTCACATTGAAAAAACCTTAAGGTGCTTTGAAAACAAAGTAGCAGCAAAAGAAAATAAACTGTAAATAGATTCAACAACAAAATCCATCACTGTACTGATTCATGGAATTTTAAGAGCAAAGCTCACCAAATCATAACAAACACCGTACCTCAAATAATTTAGGTATCTAGGCTAAACACTTACCTTACCGCTCGCTTCTCATTTGGAGTCTCATAAATCATTTCCCCCTACTTCTTCCTGTCCTTCGCCACTACTGCAGCATCCTTCCAGCTGTTAAAAGCCTAGCTTTCCTCTTTTCACCTCTGCTGTTCGTCACCATGTGGTTTTGCGTCTTTCTTGGTCTTGTTTCCCTTCTGGTGCCAAAGTTCATATAATAAATGCATTATTATCAGGACCTCTTGGCTAAACATATCTAGCAAAATAATTACAGTGAACCTTCATATGGGTCATAACATGGGCACATAAGCACACTTGCTGACTTGGTCAGCTTTGCAAATTGTAAGCTATGTTAATACCTGATGTGATTACATATTCGTTGATCATCTCTCATTGTGTTTTGTTCCTGCTCAGGTGAGTCATGTTTCAAGCTTGCAGCATTTGATGCTATTTGGCACGCTCTACAGTGTTGCTGGCAAGACCAGGTCTACCTAACCCCCTTAGCCCATCGCTTCTGGAAGCTAACACTGCAGATCATTTTACGATGTACTACTTGGATTGCTGAGGTGCATGAAAATGAGGTATTGTTGTATTTTTATTATTAAGGCAGAGATTTGTAGAGCACCATTTAAAAACTGGAGTCTGTAGCAGTGACTGTGAATGATCTTTATTTAATCATAGTAATTTCATTTTTGAATGTAGTATTAGAGAGAATAATAGATAAAAGAATTGGTCTCAACATTCAATGATTAGTCAGATTTTGTGGATGTTTTTTAAAAACTGGAGTCTGTAGCAGTGACTGTGAATGATCTTTATTTAATAATAGTAATTTCTAATTTCATTTTTGAATGTAGTATTAGAGAGAATAATAGATAAAAGAATTGGTTTCAACATTCAATGATTAGTCAGATTGTGTGAATGTTTTTTTACCTCTTTGTTGAAATTTGCAGGTAGCTGGCAAAACCTCAAATATCGATGACCAACCACCATCTAGTGATGGTGACAAGACAACGGAAGATAAATCACCCCCGGTTACCATGGCACAGATAGTATTCCTGATTGGAGATGTTGATAAATTGTATCAGCAGGTAAGCCTAAAAATATGTAAATATCTTCGAAGGCATACAGAGTAGTAGTAGGGCAAAGCATCACTCCTATGATATTTTCCTTACAATCGCATCGTAATAGCATTTGCAGTACCCACTGATACTTGGGGATCAGATTCAACACTTGTCACTAAGTGCAAGCTTGGTAGTCTGAGGTTATGTTGCCAGGCTAGTTATCTGGAGGTCGTGGGTTTGATTCCCACCCAAATTACTTGTAAATTTGTTTTCGATTGCAGTACATTGCATTCCCCACTGCTTAATTGGACTCAAATTCGCACATACTGAGTATTCAGTACATTTCCACGTCAGGTAGGGCAAAATTACAACTATAATTGATTCTCCAGTCCAGTTATTGTCTATTCCATCACAACAATAACAATTACTATCAACATTGCAGTACCCACTGCTTAATTTGACTCGAATTCAACCCTGGCCGTCAGGCGTAAGCTCGGTGGTCTAGAGGTATGATGCCAGGCTAGTGATCTGGAGATCGTGGGTTCGAGTCCCACCCAAGAACAATTTGCGATTTTTTTTTTGGCCATTGTTTTCACACGTACTGAGTATTCAATACATTTCCATATCAGGTAGGGCAAAATTACACCTATAAAATTTGTTTTCGCTGGTATTTGGGAAGGTACCGAGTAATCGGTGCAATAATAGGTCAGGGTAAACCATCACTCCTATTAATATTCATATGCTAATGGTACAAGGACAGTATTTAGTAATTGTTTTTAATATTTAATATATTTTTATTTAATTTTCAGCTGCCTTCATTGCTCACAGACTATATTGAGCCAAGGTTAACGAGTATTTGTAAAGACACTTCATTTTTAACCGGTTTGTTTTTATATCATTTTACTTTATGTATATTACTTCATTAAACAATTCATACAGCAGAGGTTGCATAAGCCCATAGTGACGTCATTGATTTGCGCTATATAAATCCACCTATTATTTAACTGTATTATTAATAATTTGAGAATATTATATCCTATTGGGAAAATTATACACCTGGTTGGACTTATAACTCAGTCGGTAGCAGTTTCATAACCAGGGGCTGCTCAAAATGCCTAATGAAACATACATTTTACTCAAAGTCATGATAGAATATTTTATTTTCCTAATGAAAGTGTTACTTCATACCAAATGTATTATTATTATTTTAATTATTCAAGTTAGTGTTACTTAACTTTGATTGGTTTTTTCGGTACTCAAAATTCACAAAGACTTATTTCATTTATTTAATCATTGCATATTTTTTTATTATTAGAATCATTTGAAGAGGCAAGGAGTAGACTAATTGAGCGACAAGGATCCTTCAATGAGTTTATTGTGAAAGAAGTTTGTGGGCTGTGTTCTGTACATCTTAAGTCAGCCAATGACATCCCACGATTGTACAGGAGGACCAATAGGGAGGTTAGAATTACACTATATGAAATTTCATGTAAAAAATACCATTGTAGTAAGTCATCATCATGCCCATATATGGGTGTGTGTTATGACATCATCATGCTCATAAATAATGTGAAGCACAAAGGGACAGTTTTTGTGTAATATGTGCTATATTTGTAGGGAGGTTAGAATTTACACTTTCAATCTATTTCTACACTATATGAAATTTCATGTAAAAAATACCATTGTAGTAAGTCATCATCATTTCCATATATGGGTGTGTGTTATGACATCATCATGCTCATAAATAATGTGAAGCACATAGAGACAGTTTTTGTGTAATAAGTGCTATATTTGTTGCAAGTCTTGTTTTTTTGTCTGTTGCCAGGGATTTCCTTTGTTTCCAGTGACAGTTCTTGTCCATCTGTTGCTTTTCTTATTCCCAATATTTTACACTTTCAACTACTGTATACAGTAATTAGAAATTTTGTTGATTGGAAACACACACATTCATTTTTTATTTTGATTTTTTCCCTTCTTGATTAGGTTCCATCCAAACCCTCTAGCTACATACACAATACTATGAAACCACTCGAGCTATTCATACAGGAGCATGGACAGGTTTTAGAGGCATCCAGACAGCAACAACTGTTGGCAGGCATATTTACACAAATTGTTCAAGAGTAAGTGGAGTAAATTAAATTATCATGGCTCAATGTTAAATTGCTTGTGTCCTTCGACAAATTTTCCAACTGTCTTTGTCCACTTGGGTAACTAAGAATGTTGAGTAAATAAATGTCATAGGCGACTTGAATGGCGGAGCGGTTGAGGTGGGTTACCGCACTTATTGCCATATTATCAGTGCTAGTTTAAGTAGTGACCAAGTCTTCACGGATAAGCACTACACTAACTGTAGGCAAGTGTACACAATTGGCTAATGTGCTCTAGTGGTTACAGCAGTTTACTGGTCCAAACATCCCCTATTGCTGAGCGATGGGTGTAACAGGCACCAGTAGCTTAAACACAAAGTGGCACTTAGGAGAGAAGGAAACTATTGTCCAGGCTAGTCTAGGGCTTGAATGCTTTAAGACTTCAGTATAGAGCGCTACATTACATTACTTTGAATTGAATTTCTAAGATCAGTGGGGAGGTGGGGGATGAGTGATAGTCACCTCCTGATCAGATACTAAGGTAGCTAAAACATATACAGTAAAACGTCCATTTTACGTACCCCTTGGTACCAAGGGGTGTTTGTAAATTGAAAAATTTGTAAAATAGATCGGGTGCCAGTTTCCAATACCTAGACCTAGCTATCCCCTGCCATTGAGCACCGATAGGCTGACGGCAGCCAAGCCTAGCACGAACCGACAGTGCAGCAGCGTGGTCTACTGCGCTGGAGCCTAGCTGAATTTACCTTTGATAAAAACCAAATTATTTTAATCGCTGGCATTCTTCCACTTTAAAATATTACTTTAACTCTTATTCAAACATCTGTATGTTTTATGGCCCTTTCTATCGTGTTCTTTCTAGTTGTTCGCCGAATTGTGTTGTTTACATGCATTTCGCGATCATATCTGGCATTCACGATGTCAAAAAGTTGCTGACCCCAACACTCTTTTTCGTCTTCATCGTAAACGTGTGCGCCTAATCCGACAACACTTGCGTTAGTAGTTTGTTGTTCTGGTTAGGTTTATTACTTTAATATAGTGATTATTATAACAGAAATAGAAGAAAAGATTGAACTATTAATAAATAAATACAACAAATTTGATTTTATTAAGAAAAATATACATTATCACTCTGTAAAACGTGCGCAACCGGACATTTTTTACTTTAATAATTGGTCGATGATGACGTCATCAGGGGTAAAATGGACGTTTTACTAAAAATATATATTATGACACTAATAAGGCCATCCTCTTTGAAGGTACAACACTGTGTCATCAGATCTGTTGACATCTGTAAAGAAGATGGAGGACAGTTTGAAGCGACTCAAGATGATGCGCAAGAGCGATGTCGGACTTCCTCAGAGCAGCCAAGGGTTAAGTGACGATGATAAGATAAGACTACAATTGGCCATTGATGTCAGGAAATTTGGCGAGCAGGTCAGTTTAACAAGAAAAAATATTATAATATAGAAACTCAATATAACTTAGAATGATTAAATTACATTCATAATTTTTTTGTTTTTTTTTTGTTTCAATATCTGATACACTTTGCAGATCTCAAGTCTTGGTGTTGAGAAACAACAGGTCAAAGGTTATGAAGATCTGAGTAGCCTTGTAGAATCTTCTGTCAAGAAACCTGCTGAAGAACTGTAAACATAATTAAATTAAGATTCTTGTAATCAAAGTTATGTAATTCATAACCTGGATTTAAATAAATTTATTTAATCAATATTAGTATCCTTTTTTTAATTATTTTAGTTGCATTTAAATGTAATCATGGTCTTTACTTCAAGTAATAAATCATTTTATTTCCATGTACAATTTGTATATAATTCACATTATATAAGAAAATGCTTCTATTTAAGTAGAAGTCACCACATTATTCCTGTATATCAATTTCAGAAAAATATACATTAATGTTATATTTTGATTGACTAAAAAGGCAGAATGTTATATATTCAATATCAGGTTATTAGTTTAAATTAAAAAAATTAATTGACAGTAATGTTATAATTTTATTATTCAATATTAACTGTATGGACTCAACAATTCTTAATTAGGTAAGTCTGAAGTTGTTGATCATTGTTCAATTACCACAAAAGCTTTATGATTTTTCTGGGTCGGATCCAAAGAAAAATGCAGGGAGGGCGTCATACAACTGATATGCTAAGGAGGTAGAGCATTGTTCAACTTTAAACACATTATACTATTAACCCAGTTTGGGCTGATTATCAAACACTTCATTTGGTATATTTAGAGGAAGACATTTACTTTGTGGTTGCTGACTAATAATCTACTTTTTTTTTTGGTAATAAATTATTTTTTGGCAAGTTGGTTTATTTTGTGATGATTATTTTATTATTTTGTATGACGTGAATTTGTCATCTACACAAAACTGTGAAATCGAGAGGGAGACAGGTTTCGAATTGTATAGTGTTTAAAAGCATGAATACCTGTTGAAACCCAACAAGTATATAATACCCTGTAATTCTGTGTATGCAGGGAGAGTGGCATATCTAGGATGATAAAGAAAATGAAGTGAAATGAAAAAAAAAAGTGTGAGAGGGGCCCTAGGTCACAAAATAAGATGATACAAGTTGATTTATAACTACTTGAGCGTCATTTTTTGTTAGGGACATTTTCAATGGTGAGGGGTCTTTGGGGTAGATATTCCACTGTGAATGGGTGAATTTTCCTCGACTCCATCATTCTTCAGCAGATAAGCCCGAGTACACACCCACATCAGCCCCACCGTGTTTTATTTTCCCTGGCAATTACCATGTAAGAGCTGAGCAGTCATCCATATGTATATGTATACATGTAAACATTCATTATCATCCAGGAAGCAGAGGATGTTGGACTCTGTACATATTTGTCAATTATGGTTTATGACCATGAGTAACAAAGCTGTAAGCAGTTAGTTGTAAAGACAACATATTAAAGCAATAAAACAACCCATGACACAATTTTATGTAAAATATTTATTACAATCATTAAATATAGGTTGATGAGAGGTTGAGATGTGTTGCTACTACTGTAAATGAAGCAGAAATTGCCCTAAAATAACATGTTTTCTTATGTAATAATAAAAAATTAAATACGCTAAATAAAACCCTGACAATTCATATTTATGGGAATGAGTGTATGGGAAGAAGACACTTTTCACTCGATATGACAATAAGCCATGCAAAAAAAGATGGCCTTAATGTGATACAACATACAGGGTGGACAAAATTGTCTCCAAAGACGTATGGGGAAAATAAAACCCTGACTGTACAAATTTATAGGAGGAGGAAATGGGTGTATGGAAAGAAGAGGGGCTGTACATGTTTGTCAAGTATAGTCGATGACCATGGGTAATAAAGCTGAAAATACCAACATTATTATCATCCATTTATCTAATGATAACATAATAAAACAGGCCATTACACACAATTATGTGTAAAATATTATGGTACTTATTACAAACAATAAAGAGACATGATTGAGAAGCAAATAACATGTTTTTGTATGTAAAATTAGAGCAGAAATACATGTTTGCGAGGCTACAAAAATATAGATGGCAAGCTGTCAAAAAATTAGAAGGGAATAATTTCTGTCAAGATGTACAATACAGATATCTCTCCAATTACCAGAGAACATCAAGGACTGAATCTTGAAATATTTTCCCATGAAAAAATAAATATTGCAATATGAGAGTAGGTATTGAAAAGTAAACATACATATACACAAATGCTTAATCCCAGCCCTGTTCTGATTACTTAGCAGTGATGTATCTAGAAGTCTTGCAATGGGGGGAGGGGGTGTCATGGAAGGCTAAATGATTAAGTGAAGGGGTGCCAGGTCACAAAGATATGGTTATTTTTAACTACATGAAAAGTGTGATTTTTTTGCTTCGGAAATATTTAATGGGGGTGGAAAACTTGAGGCAAGTTTTTTTTTGTTTTTTCTTTTGGAGGGGAGGGGGTTTGATGTGCGCACTTTCTAGATACGCCACTCAGTTAGATTGACACTATGTAAAGGTTTATTGTTATTTTGCTTGCTTTGGTCAATACAATAATTTTATATTTTTAGTCTACTGTAATTACCAGAGATCCCTGATAAATAATATCTTAAATCACAATTAAGCCATAGTTATAAGCTGATGTTTTAATGGTTTTCTATATTGAATATTTTAATATAAAATCAAATATTGATAAAGTTATACTGTACCTCTAAAAAAAGATTTAAATTATATAGTAATAAAAGAGTTAAAATAGTAACAAACTCAAAAGAACTTTAAATAGTAACGAACTCAAAAGACCTTGATCCAAAAAAATTTGATATATTATAAAAGTTTCAAATATAAAAAATGTTGTCAATAATATATATAATTGCATCTACCTAACAGATCCAGCTCCATGAAGGAGTTCTCGTTCAAATTGCTCTGCGGTAAATGTTCCGTCAATTGTCTCAAAATCAGGATTGAACACGGAATATGCACTTGGTTCACCCGGCTTCCTTATCTTTCCAACTGTCATTGTGATGTACATCAAGTAGAATAGGCTGCCCATGAAGAAGAAAACGCCAAACTGCAGTTGAATAAATAAAGCATATAGTAGTAACCACAGCAGAAATTTTAGATATGTGGCTTTGGCAAGACTGCTACTCTGAATTGCTCTGACAAGCCTTGTGTTTTCAGCGTAGATGAATAATCCATCTATCCATTGTTGTAACTGAAAAAGTGAAAAGAAAGTACATACATTTTTTTGTTATCCCTCCCGTTATTAGATGACGACACAATATTAATGAGTGACATGCAAAACCCGTACAAATGTTTTTTTTACATTCCTGTGGATGAGGGATGTGATCCCGACTTCTGTTACTGACTTATTTTTTTTTGGTGACTGATTTTTCTCAGATGTGTTGTTTGCATTTAATTTTAACTGAACCTTGTTCTCCATCTATTTTCTTGTTAACATGTTGTATTTTATTGTTCCTGTATACCAGTATTAGTTGGAGAGCCTTTGTATAGTGAATTATTTTGTTTTTTGACAATAGGTCCGAATAGTGCTCTAGTCTTTGTGATGTTTACTGTAATAAGATCTGGAAAATAAATAATAAAGTTTTGAGACCCTGTGATTTTAGAAAAGTGCATGTAAAAAGTAAATCCTTGCCAAGCCTCAGGGCTCATAGGGCTAGAGCTTATCCCTAGTTACTGTAACGTGAAGCAGAATGAGTCCGATAGTCCCCCTGGAAGCCACGCTATACAGCTGGGAAGACTGAAGCAATGTAGATAAAATGACTTGCTCAAGGACACAATCAAAATGCACAGCAGAGGATTGAAACCGCGACCTCGAGTTTGGGAAACCAAACCATTTCCACTGCACCAAACCGCTTCCAGTGCATATAGTGTAAATAAAAAGAAACCTAACAAACCTTTGATGTTGTTGGTGTCCTCTCCTTTGCTGTGGAAGATAATTTGTCAGCATCTCTAGTAGCATTTTGTTTTGTCGGTATTTGATTCTGTTTTCTAGCTCTATATTGAGCCAATTGCTCTTCAATTCTTGACATTATCTGCAGAATATAACATTAAATAAGACAGTAGGAAACAAACTATAATTAAATATTTCAAACTTCATTATTAAAGTGAATGCCAATTAATGGCTTGTATCACTTTATTCAGAGTTTGTTTATTTCATTCAATCAAAAATTTCAGGCATGACAAACAAAATTAAGTACAAAATAATTAAATATAAAAAAGGCAAGTAGAAAACAAACAGGTGCAGAACACACAAAGTTGGCCTACCTACCCCTAAGCAAATAACATTACAAATTAAGAAAATGACATTGACAAAGCAGAGAGAAAAAAAAAAAAGCTTACATACTAGACTAAGCCTATCTTATTATGAACCCCATGCATATGACACCACATAGCCTCATCATATAATAATAGGATAACATATAAAATTTTTTTTTTTTTTTTAAATGTTTAAAAAAGAAAAAAAAAGAGGATCGCTCATGATCAAAATCAATACAGTAAAAATAACGACTACTCATTGGCCTAGGCTGGCCCATCTTACTCTTGGATGGAGTAAGCCAGGCCTACCTATACCTAGCCTAGTGTTTTTCTGTAGCTTGAGTAGAGGCAGGCCCGCCTAAGGCCTAGACTAGCAGGCTCCTAGCTAGGCCTAAGCCTAGCTAGAATTCAAAATGACTAAAAATACTGGTGTGTGTAGGGGCCTAGGCCTATATAGAAGTAGTACCCGATGAAAAATGTGCACTGTATTATTTAACGAATACTTTGTAATTCTGAAAGACGAAAACAAAAGCTTTCTACATTCGTACAACTCTGAAAATGATAATAGTGTCCTGTGTTTATAATACCTCTATCAAAACACTGGACAGAATACACACCGCCACGCTCCACCGACCATGTTTTGCAAAGCAGTCAGGTTTTGCAAAACAATGACGTACGATGGCCCTTCCATTTTTGCATGGGGAAATGAATACTGAATCTAACATCCCGTCATTTTACAAATTGCGTGAACTAATGGAAATTTGCGTCAACTTATGCTAATGCGCGTCCAAGTGCGTCAACGCCTGGCCGTCAACACATTCTCAGCATGCAGTTTTGAGCCCGACGACTGCTGAGTGTGCGCATGCGAGAAAGCAAGGCCTTGTAATGTATTGGTGAGAGTGAGAGTGAGGAGGTGCAGTCTCGGGCCTAGGTAATAAGTTCTTTACAATTGATACTGGTGCTTGAACTAGTTCAATATGGGCTAGGACTATACAATCTCACTGCGCAGACTAGGCATACGGCTTTAACTCTAGATTAATTCCATGCAAATGTGTTCCATCATGGAGACCTCCATGTCCATGGTTCCATACACATTCCGAACGGTCATTTCCCCCCACCCCACTACCTGACCAATTCATAACATTCTTTCTCTATATGCCATAACATATGGAGTTCTCCATCCCTGCTCTTCTGCTAGGCTTTTGGCCCCAGCCTTGAGGTCCAGTGTTTGGCCTATACTGGTACCATGGACCTGCTGGTACTAAGCTTATACTCTACCTAGAGAAAGATAGGCCGAAGGCCAAGAAAGATAAAAACCATTACTTTTTTAGTCGGTATTTTCTGATGTTTTTTTATGTTTTTTGGCGCGAGCACAGTGGAAATTACCTTTGTGGAAAATGGTATCGCCTAGCGTATTCTATGTCAAGGTCTGGCCTGCTAGCTGGCTGGCGCAGCTATGTACGGGGATTTATATACGGTAATACTACACATATCCAATTATGGAAGAACTGCTCAAGGCGCGTTTTTTTTCAGAGGTCATTCGATACAGAATCAATCATAACAACCAGTGGCAATGCATATAGACATGATTTGAAGTGGGGGATTATGTGGGTGTGGTGCAGGCTTGATGATCAAGTGAAGGGGAGCTAGTCGTAAAAGAACTACTTGACCTTAATTTTTTTAGCTTCAGATATTTCCGGTAAGGGGGCCCCTGGGTGCAAGCTTTTTTTCGGGCGTGCATCACTCCATACCAAGATACAGCATTGTACACCACATGAAACCCCCTCTGCTCCCTGGGAAGTGTTCCTAGTTATACATGTAATCAGTACTATACTGATTTCACCTCCTACCAGGTATCCACACTTCTTAGTGAAGAGAGGATACTCAGTTGGTGTCCAGTGGGGGGTAAGTTTCACTGGTAGTTGATGTTGTGTTTTTGTAGTTTGTTTGAATTCATTTTTAGTAATAATTTTGTTTCTTCTTATCATGACAGTATGGCCTTTCACAGCCTTAGTGATTCAACTCTGTGTTAAAATAAGGGGAGACTTTTTTATACTTTGTTTCGCAAACCTATTTTTTTAAAGATCGTCAGTGAAGTGCGAAATAAACATTATAATTTTGTTTTCATATTTAGCAAATAGTTTTGCCAAAATTATCTACATGGAGGAGAAAATAAAAATAAAATTTGGAGAATTTAAACTGTGTAGTAAGGGGGATGGTTAAATACTTTCAATTTACAGTATATAAATTAGGAAGAAATATACGTATCTTATTTTTGAAGATTTCAATTCAGTGGTGGGCATGATAAAAATAAAGAAAAACTTTTATTTCTTTCTGAAATTTCCATTTTTTTGTGGCGGCGGGTACGCTAATTGGCCAAAAATAAAATTTTATTTTTATTCAAAATCATCATTATTGGCGGGTTCACTAAACTAGATAAAGAAAGTCTTGATTAAATTATATTGTATTATTATATAGAGGCAAGTGCAGATGTCTTTCTCGAGGACGAAGCATTGTGACAATCATCAGTCTTGTGCCCCAATCGTCTGATTGAAAGACCAACGCCATACATGCTGCACCAGATGCTTCTACCATTAACTTAACGTGGTAGTAGGATGACAACTGGTGGTGTCATTGCTGTGCACATAGGTAATACAACAATAGTTTTATTTACTCTTTTTTTTTAAGCTAAAAATAGAAGAGTACACAGAGAAGCCATGTCATCCGGCGTATCACTCAGTATCTCTTGTGTTTATTTATATGCATATGTATATGTATACATATGTATGTATATGTACAGTAGGTATAGGCCTATATTTTACTTTATTTTGATTGTATTTTTAAGGTGCTGGGTACCATTCGCCTACAAAGGAAGGTGACTACAAGCGGCTATGCAAAGTGGCATGTGCCAAGGTAAGTAAATAGAATATAGAACAATCCTTTGTATTTATGTTCTAGAAAACAATAGAATTAACCCTTTACAATACACCTGTACAAAGTACAGCAAATCTTGCAAATTTAACCTCATTCGTTTGTATGGCTGTTTATAAAGCTTAAAAAGCTGATGAACCCCAAAAAATCAAGTCTATATACAGTAATGTGTTTTTCATTTCTGTAGGGAATTGATATGCTACAAAGCAGTGCTTCATCTTTGGTGACATTGGTTTCAGTAATGAAAATATTAGAGGTAAATGTTTTAACCGAAAGGTCCACTGATTAATCTCATATAAGAATTAAGTATACATACTCCAAGTATTGAAATGCACGCCATCGTGTTAGGATTTAGTATTTCAACATTAATTATGTCATCATCAGGAATATGATATGTCATCATCAGGAATATGTCATTTTTCCTGATGATGACATAATTAATGTCCACAAAAAAAAAGGCTCGCACACATATACACATATATATTAGCATATAATATAACAAATATAAACTGATGAAAAAAAATTTCACTTGTATACACAGGATGACCCACTTACAAATGCTGGAAGTGGTTCGAACTTAACACTTCATGGCACAGTCGAATGTGATGCCAGCATTATGGATGGCAAAGGCAGAATGTTTGGTGCTGTTGGAGCTTTGCAGGGTGATGTATACACATTTATTTAATTTTTACAATAATAAATATATATAATGAATAAAATTAAAAAATATTATTTCAAACAATAAATATATAAGATATGTTTGAGTGGTTTTCAATTGAAAAATTAGTATTGTGCTTCTCAGTGGCGGATCCCTGAATTCAAGTTAGAGGCCAGGGGAGGGTCTTTCACAGATGGAGGGTCTAGAGGTAAGAAAATTTTATAATGGCACCTAGATGGCTGGCAATGGTACTTTTGATTTAGATATAATTTTCTTTTTTTCTCTATTTTTTTAAATAATTTTGAAAGATTTAGCTAGGGGCCCTGGGCCAGCTCCCCCTTCCCACCCATTCCCTGAATTCGCTTCTACCAGCAATGTTTTTTTAATGAACGGTATTTTGTATTAATTATCTGTCTCTTTCCCAGGTATTAAGAATCCAATTGAAGCTGCAAATTGTTTACTGGGAGAGCAGCTGAAGGGCAAGCTGTCTATGGGAAGGGTTCCGCCATGGTTTGTATTTAATTTGGTTTCATTTGATTTTTAGGTATATAGGGTACAAATTGGCAATAGGAAATATACTATTGTATAAAAATATTCATCCAATACTGTACATGATTGCAAGGTTGAAATTTTTTCTTATGGTGCTCACACCACTAAACCATTGGTCATTAGTTCAATCCCTCAAATCAATGCTTAACAAGTATTACATCTTATAATATACTGTATTATCTCTTATATTTTTTAATAGAATTTGCTCAGTATAAATTAGTAAATTATTATTATTATAAATTATTCTTATTATCTTCAAAGTTTTCTTGTGAGTAATGGTGCCAGACAATTTGCAAGGGATCATGGGATTAAGGAAGCATTACCAGGTACCATGACAACAGAGAATGCATTGAAGAGTTACAAGAAATATAAAAGACAGTTATCAGAGTGTTCGGTTAATCATGAGGCTCCGTCAGCCAAGAAACGACAAGAGGTTTAGATTTTGTTTTAATTGTCAGTTTGGAGAAACATATGATGTAAATATAAACTGAATAAAATGTGAGAAGTTTCTTGTCAACTATCTCTCCAAGGTTTTCCACCTCCATTGCTGTATTGAAAATGGCTAATAATATTAATTATTGCATAGAATAGGACACCTTACAGGTATGCAGTCAATAGCGTTCTATGTATTTATATTTTTCAACAACAATAATCTTAATTATTGTTCACAGGAATCATGCCTGCTCATGGACACAGTTGGCGCAATCTGTTTAGACACAAACGGCAACATCAGCTCTGCTGTTTCAAGTGGAGGAATTGTTTTGAAGCATCCTGGTAGGGTTGGCCATGTATGAAAATTTGATTATTTTTTTATATTTTTTTGCTAATGATAATTGTAGTGTAATCATAAATAAAGATATTTTTTATTTTATATAAATTAATTACTGAGTAACAAGGATATATAGAATAACATGATACAGATACAGATATACATTATTGTCATTTGTCAGAGATATATAAATTTACTATGTTCATGGTGCAACATCACCTACCTATTAAATAAATGATGTCAGGTAATAATATTAAATATTAATAACAGTGATGATAACGATGATGATGTTGGTGATAATGATGATGAATTTTAAGATAATGATTATGATGAAAAACAAATGCCCTCAAAATTTACAGGCAGCTATGTTTGGTTGTGGTTGCTGGTCAGAAAATGTTAAAGATGATAAAGTAGGAATTGCATGCTCAACAACAGGGTGTGGAGAGCAGATCATGAGAACAAACCTAGCTCAAAAGTGTTGCCAGAATGTGCAAGCAAAAGATAACCCAATTGAAGCTGTACAAGAAACATTTACTCAAGATTTTAAAAGTAAGACTGTTGGTAATACTTATAGATATATCATTGATTGGCGTAGGCTGGGGTGTGGGTTGACACAGATGTGTATTAAAATTGCTAAATAATATTTTTGTTAAACTTATTGGTACTCTCAGGTAGTCAACTACTTTGCAATGACAGTGAGAAGCTAGGTGGCGCTCTTCTAGTAAGTTATGATCAGAATAACGCTGAACTTGTTTGGGCTCATACAACAGAGAGCATGTGTTTTGGTTATATGTCAACAAGGGATAAATCACCAAAGGTAAGATACAGCACCTTAAAATTATGGTATTTGAATATGCTAATTTTGTATATTCGAATATGCTAATAATAAAACAGGACTTTTGGGATGGAAGCAAGCCTCTTAACCACAGAACATTTAATTGAATGTCTTAATTACAGTAAATAATTTTTTTAATTTAAAAACAAAATCTAAATTCATCATAATTAAAATTTAGGAGAGTTCTTGTTTCACTTTCATCTTTTTTTTTTCTAGGTTAAGATGTCTAGACTCCCAAGTGGAAGTAAATGTGGTGAATCTCTGTGTCTAGGAGGATGTCTTTTCAAACTTTCCTGACGAATCTCAAAACCTAACATATTTTGCTGGAAGAAAACTTTAAAATGAATTTAAATACAGTAACTGAGCTAAAGTGAATGAATCCTTCAGGCTGGTGGATGTCTGTTAACCTGTTTCTAAGAAAGTCAGGTGATCAGATTAGACCATCCTGGATGTAGACTAAAATTGGTTTTGTGTTTTCTGACATTGATGCTTCACCAAGGGTCAGTCTAAACCAGCATGTAGTGTATACCAAGATCAGTATTATTAACAATGGACTTAACTCATTACACGTCTCAATGAGCTATATATACGGACTAGCAGTGTATCTTATAGTATTGACGCGAGGGGGGTGTGATGGCAGAACATACTATATTAGCAAGGGGGTGGTGGGTGGGGCGGGAACCAGCCTGCATACAATCAATTTTATAATTTTAGGCTAAGCAATATTGATAAATCTGACTAAAGTTAATATGAATTTAAGCTGATTTCTAGTTTGATAAATCTGGCCCCTGGGCCCATTTTAATACTGTTAATAACTACTTTGGATGTTGATGGGGACTCATTTTTCTAGGGGCTTGTATTGCCCATGCCCCTATTGAACACATCTTTGATGCAAACATGTGCAGATCTTGATGGCCACTCTTAATTTTGTGAGCTAAATTTCAATGCATACTATAAATGAAGTGTTTGTCAGCTACCCAAATACATAACAGTTAGTGGATACACTTTTATAACAGTTAATGGAACTACCAGTGCAGTTTTTATAGTGTTTGGGGAGTAAGGGATGTGTGTGTTTGTGAGAAGGAGAAGTAAGGGGTTATGTGAGTGTAGTTGTATGAAGGCATGTGTGTATGTAGAACAATGTCAGTATAAAATCATGATTGAAAAATCCATCTTGGAATCACTTTTAATGATAAATTTGAACAATAAAATTCTTCTTGAAATCTTTAAATCAGTACAAATTGGATTATTATTTGTCTCTCAGAGGTTCACCTTTTATATGCCAAGTTTTAATTTCTAAGGGTTATATATGTTAATACAGACAGTATATCAGTGATTAGTATTGTTTCTAAAAAATTATTTAAAATTTTTTACTAGAATCAAATGAAAAAAAATATACAGCACGCAAATACATAACAAAACAATTGCATTTGGTATTTACAAAATGTATATTCATTTCCATTTACTGTATTGTAGTTGTTAGAATGATTAAATGTTTAAAAACTAAAAAAACATGTCAAAAATATACAAATTTAACTTTACTGAACTTAATTATTACAGGTTAAAAAAGGAAATACTATATTTGTTATTAATGATAATACCATTGATAATAAATATATGTTGGGATTTTAAAAGATAAAACATCTATTGTAGTTTAATCTCCCTCTTTGATTGTATAAAGTTCAACTTAGCATCGTATAACGCAGCCTGATGCAATTTGTTTCGCGTCAGGTCTGCATCGGGGACAGTCGTGTTGTAGAATATTAAACATGTTTATTCACAGAACCACCTGAAAACTGTCCACAATGATAAATAGGATGCGCCGTACTTCCCTGCCTGAGTTGGGTTTAAAATTCTTTATTCAAAATTAAAATTGTCCATAATATCCCAGGAAAGAAAATATCATTATGTATATGATTTGAATCCATATTGAAATATTCATTAGATTAATATCAATATATGAATATTCACGATTTAGACAGTTTAAGCTACACTGGATAAAACATTGAAGAAGTGGTAAACTTCCTCTTTATCATACATGGCAACTTCTGTGTTGCACATGCTGCAACGAACCGGGTGAAACACTTCCTCTGTTTCTGAAGAACTCTCTGCAACATTGTCCTCGTCAGTAGATTTTCGCTTTTTTCTATGGCGCTGCTGTTTCCTAACATTTGGCTTGTACCTAAGAATTTCTGAATGGATGATCTTACAGTTCAAAACAAACATGGCCCTAAATTGCTGGTGGTACTTTTCATGACGTTGACAGTCTAAACATAACGTAGTCATGCAGGCCGGGCAGTTTAGTACGGCATCGCTGAGCGGTGCTTTGTTAGAAACCTTGGTGGTTGTTCTGCTTGATCCAGCAGAGCTGGGATCACTTCCTGAGGGTAGTTGATTGGGATGGTACATTTTTCTTTGTTTATCTATCCATTGTTGATTGTCATCATCAATATCAGGGTCGTACATTAATTCTTCATTTGTTAGCACTTTATGTTTTGATTTGCCTGCAAAGGAGAAGAAAATTTATTGACATATCATTCAATTAACAAACAAAAATAACTATGTTTATTGTTTTAGTTTAACATCATATGCTTCATCAAATAAAGTATTATACAATACCATGGAAAACTCCCCATACTTGTTTTGTTTAAGACAATAAAGACATCTAGCTTGGTGAGAGCTCAGTTGACCATCAAGAATGTAGCAAATTTGTGTGGATTGCCCATACATGAGCATGGTGTCATATGAAACCTATATTTGGGCATGATGATGTCCTATCACATCTATATATGGGCATGATAATGTCATATCATACCATATATGGGCAAATCACAGGTGTTTGTCACATAAAACTGGGTAGGATGGAAAGAATTTAAAAATCAGCCAATGTCAATGATTGTGCTTAAATATTTCATTGTTTATGTTTTGAAAAAAATAATTCAATGATAGTATGCTTAAGTCTCATTATGGAAATTAGGGAGATAATTTGGCAATGTCACTTCTATTTAAGTATACTTTGTAAGACTGTATTGAAAGAATGTTAATTATACTTGCCTGTTTTTGCATCTTCTTCATCTGAATCAAAATATATATCATCATAGCATTCTTCAGCAGCATTCTCTGTTGACTGTCCTAATGGTTTTGAATTCTGAGATGTAGAGCCTTCTTCACATTTCAATTTACCTTCATTCAGAGTAAAACATAGATTAATTTTGTTGTATTGCAAATTTTGTTACCCATCAGGTTAGATTGTTGAATGCTAATTTGTTAGACTCTCCATCAACTTACTGAATTGCCGTTTTTCATGTTGTCTCATTGTTTCATCCAATTCCTTTTCCATTTCTTTTTCAAATTCATCTTCACTTGATGATAATTGTAGACTTCCACGACTTAAAGACCGGGTCAGTTTCCTTTTTCGCTCGGGTGTTCCGTGCAGAAGGATATCAAGCTCATCTTCAGAACTGATGACAAAAATGTTAAAAAATGAATTTTTTTTGTGTGCAATCTAATATATTTATTCTATTAAAGCTCATATAAGTATGCCTAAACAAGTCTCACGCCAGCAGGGGTGGCGCTACCCATCGACATAAATGTCAAGAAAAATGTCAAGGAAGGCTTCTCTTCACTAACAACTAGGCCTAGCCTAGGCATATGGCCGAAGCCCAGGCTTATCCGGCCCATGTGAAACGAAGCGCGACCGAAATGATCGGCTACCAGTTCTAGTAGTAGTAGGCCTACCCAGCTAGTCTGGGCCTGACCCTACAATAGACTACTGTAACCTTAAAAATCAGGCCTAATCTAGGCACTAACCTTTGTTGTCCTCCTGCACACTCTTCATCACTATCTTCGTAAATTATATAATCTGTCATTTTCTATTTTTAACATGACATGTGTATATTTTGTTTGATGGTGTCAGCCGTCGTCGTTGATCGAATGATTTTCGTTTCGTCGATCTTGTTTCGCCTGAAGACGCGAAATGCGTTCTGTTACCCAGTTTGCTCGTCATCGGAATATGGCGGAACGCACTATACGTAAGACCAAAGAAAGCAGTTCCAACTGTAATGAAAGTCGTCTTCACAAATTTCACTACTGGTAACACATGTGCAATGAAACGCACAACTTATTTTTCTGAAAGATGGAAGAACTGTGTCTCTGTCGCGCGAAATTTGACATTCAAAACATAGGTATCTTACATAGGCTAGTTACTACCGTTAAATTAACACACTGTCTGTGTGATGTAAGATTTAGTCTATATCAGGAAGAGATTAGGAAAGGCTATGTAGATAGGCCGGCCAGGCTAGGCCAGACAGAGAAGTCCTCCTCTCTGTATGTAGCCAGGCCCAGCTTGTCACCTCAGGTCTGGGCCCTACCTAGCCAGGCCCAGGCTTGTCACTCAGGTCTGGGCCCTACCTAGGCCTAGCCTAGGAGTGTGACGATTCGCGACAAGCCGCCTAACTAGTTAGATAGGGATGTATGTCGATCGAAAACGAGCATTTTTGTACACCAATCTTGAAGTTCACAAATTGCTATAATACTAACAACAACAGATTGTGTTATTTAGCTTTTTGTATGTCTATTTATTGTTGTTATAGATTAAAAAACTGAGACCTCGTACGTACAGTAAAAGATTTGTGAGAAGAAGAGCATGCGCACATGTCTTGGAAGCAGCACTTCCATTCCAGTTATAAATTGGCTATTCTGCACCACCACACTGTTGTCACAATAGCAAATTTAAGCGTTGTAGGGTATGCTCTGACTTCCATTGACTCACTGAATACGTGATTGGCTGATATTAAAAACCAGCCATGTGGAAATTCTAAGCAGCTTAGAGTACGATGCAATAGGCCGACTGTGACAATCCTAGAATCGATACCAAAGTAGGCCAAACATTGAAAACTTTGCTATTCCAATGATCTGTAGCAATAAAACTGAGAAACTGTACTACATATTTTTTATTTGTTTTAGCCAGGGTATGCACTACATACCTTGCTTGCCTTGACGGTCTGCCGCTGCATATAATGCTTTTAACTATTGTATATACCTATTTCATTTTTTCTATTTATATTTTTTTCAATACGCAGATACTGATAATACCATGACTGCTGTTCAGGACAAATAATGAATGTATGGAATGCCAAAACAAAATAGGAAACTTGTTAGCAGTTCACTTGTCTGTAATCTTTCGTTTCTTTTGTTCGAGTATCATTTTTAAGCAAAGTAATATATCTTTTTAACCTACAAATTCTAAAATATGGTGAAATAATTATGAAGAAAGTGCAGTCAACCCTATTTCAGAGCTGGGGGACAAAAGTTTCCAGCACATCCAAAACAAATTTAATAGATGGAATTGGCGATGAGGATATTGCTGACCTGGATGATGCTGACCTGGATGATGAAACACTTTTGGCAGCTTGCCAAGAATGGGACAGCAGCAATACAACTAAAAATTCTATTGTACAAGGCACACCTCTTGAAAGCTTGCCTGGTTTTGACGTTTCTTCTGGCCATATATGGATCTATCCAACTAATATGCCTGTCAGAGATTACCAAATGAACATCGTTGAGCAGTCGCTTCTTAAAAATACACTTGTAACATTGCCAACTGGCTTGGGTAAAACATTCATCGCTGCAGTTGTTATGTATAATTTCTACCGTTGGTATCCGTCTGGAAAAATTGTGTTCATGGCACCAACGAAACCGTTGGTTGCTCAGCAAATTGAAGCTTGTTATAATATAATGGGAATTCCACAGAATCACACAGCAGAAATGACAGGTGAAGTGAAATGCATTTACTACTGTATTCATTCAGTTTAAATTTGAAAGCTAATTTTTCTATTTCATTATTTAGATTGCTTACTTTAGTTATAACCTTTCGTTATACCGATTGTCACTTATAAGTAGGACAGTGATATATTCGCCATTGGCAATCCTTGGCGCCTGTGTTGCACGCGTAAAAAAATTCAAAAAAAATTTCATCCTTCAAATCAGAAATTAAATATATTATTAATTAAATTTTGAGGTTTTTTCCAGATTTGACCAATACAGTATGCCTTTACTATCACAGCATTAACTTGATATTTTTATTTAAAGGACAATTTAAAAGAATTTTGATTCTTAAATAACTAGTTATAATCTGTTGGTTCTTTTTGTATTCCTTTAATAGGCAGCATGCATCCACCAGAAAGAAAAAGAGTTTGGCAATCAAGAAGAGTGTTTTTTCTGACCCCTCAAGTTCTTATGAATGACCTCAGCCGCAAAGCTTGTCCCGCTGATGACATCAAATGCCTGGTGGTGGATGAGGCTCACAAGGCCTTGGGCAATCACTCTTATTGTCAAGTAAATCTACTTCAATGCTTTTTCTTTTAACGAATTCTGTTTTATTTGTTTTACATTTTTGCCTGTTTTCACTTTAAATATATTCATTTTTATTTGTGATTAAGCTATTAACTTTCAACTGAAAATTATAATAAGAAAGAGGTGGTCTAAATACAGTTTTTTTCAATGTCTTTAATTCTTAAACAAGGTTGTAAGAGAGCTGTCTAAATACACAATCAACTTCCGAGTATTGGCTTTAAGTGCAACTCCTGGCAGTGACATTAAGGTAATGGTATTACTGTACTTCTAAGATTCTTTAGTGAAAATATTTAGATGAATAATTCTACTAACAAATGTACTTAAGAAATGAAAAAAAAATCTTTCTAAACACAAGTTTTATTCGAATTTAAGAATTTGTTTTGTTAGGAAAATAAATTTTTACATAAATGAACTATGGTGCCCACCTTTAAATCGCCGAATCTTGGGTTCAAATGTTGTAAAGCATGAGTGGGCATAAAAATCGGTCAAAGTGAATTTTGAATTAACACCAAAGGCTGCACCCAAACTTTGATGTTTACAGTGTGCTTCCAAAAAACTTCATGCACTGCTTTTGTACCACTTTATTCTCAGTTTTTACATTACTTTTTACAGATGATTAGTGTCGGGCCGTAAAAAACAAGGTGTTTTCTAGTCAAAAATGTTTGGCGGGCCACACACATAGGGTTTTTAATTCATTTTTGCAGGCCGCAAAAAAAATCACTGTCGGGCCACATGCGGGCTGCAGGCTGCACTTTGCCCATCAGTGCTGTAAAGTAATTCTGGGTTTTTTATGTTCAGTATCAACTCAACTCTTTAAGTCATTGAGACTTAGTTTATAGGGTATTATATCAATCCATATGGGAGAGTGTACTTGCTGTTATGTGTAACAGGAAATAAAACATTATTTTTTAAATACAGTTTTATTTTTTTCTAATGTTCTCATTTAAAGGCGGTGCAACAAGTTTTAACTAATTTAATGATCGCCCATATTGAGATAAGATCAGAAGAAGCTCCAGATATTCAGAAGTACGTACATAGCAGGAAGATTGACAAGTATGTTGTGCCTCTGGGAAAAGAACTGGAAGCCATTCAAGAGAAATATTTAAGGGTGAGTAATGGTGATTACAATTATTTTTGTGGTTACCATATTTTGTTAAGTATAAAGCTGCATTCGCACCAAATCCGAATTTTCGGATTGGAAGGCCTACCAAACCAATCAGAAAATCAAATCAGTGAATATGAACGCTGGCGTTCAGCTCATCGGAAATGCGGCCTAAATTTCATTTCGGATCCAATGTGAATGCAGACTAATCTTGGAGAGGCTGGTATGAAAGATACCAAAAATATGAATGGACCAAAACTCTGACAATACCACCAGCATTTCAAATATTGCTGCATTCATCTTACTTTAAAACAGCCCAAAATTCCAGGTTTTACCACAATTTATTCAAGAATAATATTAAAGTTTACATGTTAAATATTGATTGTATTTGAATAACTTTGAAGATGTTTTGCCTTAAATGCAGATTATTACTTTGTATGTTGACAAGTTGTATCGTACCAAGTGCCTGTACTCCAGGAACCCCAAGTCATTGACGAAGTATCAAGTGTTGATGTGTCGAGACGCGTTCAGAAAGGATCCACCTGAGCACATGCAGGTAAGTATGATACGATAAGATACAATAAAAATTTTATTGCAATTTACTATGTAAATAAATTAAAGTTGAACACTATCACACAAATCAAAAAGTCAATCATCTAACAATATAAAGGACAAAAGCAAAGCATTAAAGATTAAAATAAAACATAGAAACAATGTCCGTTCGATTCTGCAGGGAGTACTTACCATCCTTTGAACAACCCAAGCTTATCTTATTATTTAGAAGCCATACTATTATGCTTAACCTTGGTTCAAGGACCTAATTTTAGGTTACTCATTCTTTATTGCGCGCCATACCTAATTTATTTGGCATCCCATACTCGATTTCTTTTTTTTTTTGGTATTATTGATAAATTTTTTTGAACTGTTTGTATTATATTTGGATTGAGGAAATTTGGTGCTTGTCCTCAAGTTACATGATACATTACGTAATGAAGGGATTAAAACATTTAATCTGTGATTGGAATTTTTTAATTTTTGGAAGTATTCCCTGCACAGTCAGGTACGTCTGTCCTTTAACAGTGGAATATTTAGAATCAAACGTGCCTCATCATAATTACGGTACGCCATAGGAGAATTATCTGAAATGCCCTTTTCTGTATGTGTTCAAAGGATGTAATTTGTTTGTGGGTCAGAGTAGTACTGTATCTCAAATTGGTGCTCTTCAAAATTCCTCCAATACTATTGTTGTATTTCAAGTAATAGTTTTTGTGTATGTGTGCATAGCTTAGTTGCTTGCTATTGCATAATAGATAACAGTGCATGTTTTAAAGACTATTTTCATCTTACTGTATTTCATAGTATTGAAGTACATTTTCTATTTTGTTTCTATTGAGCAACATTTTTAAAGAATAGAAGGTAATAAGAGTATATACCCGGCTGAATTATAGTGTTAACAACAACTTGTAAACACTTTTTTTCAGAGTTTTCAGCTGGAGTATTTGCTAATATTATTTGAGTATCCCTATATTATACTTATCCATTTTACACCCAAAAAAAATTAGTGCGTCTCCAATAAAAGCCTCCCTCAAATAAACGCCACTCAAAAACCCTTCTTGAAAATAGACGCCCCGGGCATTTATACAAATGATTACTGTATACCCATAGAGGTATAATAAGAATACTAGAGCGCTAACTGCAATGTATTCGATGGTCGAAATACGCAGAACTGTGTGTGTGTACCATCCAAGATGGCTACCATAGGTTTAACCAATCAAATTTCGCTAAAGCGTTATCGTTTGCAAATGCGCCCTCAATTTACTCAGAAAGTTCAGTACAGCTAGTTACCTGTATGTTTGAAATGCTAGCATTGCGGTGTTTGGGTGTAATGTACACGATTTTAATTTTCATTCCTTGGTATTTATTTTTGAATAAGATGCTCCACTTGGCCTCGTTTTGGCTACAATAGTTTAATAATTTGTTATTACCATTACTCATTATCATTAATGAAATAATAGTCAGGCAGAGGGCTTATTAATATATAATAATATGTATACTAAGCTTGAAGGTGGCACTTTACTACGACGGCCATCTTGGATGGTACACATACATAACTCTGCATTGCTGCGCCATCTTGTCAGCACTCTAGTTGTTTAATAGCTCTATGTGTATACCTAATAAGCATTTTGTTTTACAGAGGGCTCAGCTAGGAGTAGCTGAGGGGGAATTTGCTATTCTTATCAGTCTGTATCATGGATATGAGCTGCTCCTACAACATGGGATGCACTCATTGCACTGTTTCCTGACTAGCATGGTGGATGGTTCAAAGGGAACATCGAGAGCAAGGAATGAACTCATGCAAAACCATGTTTTTAGCGAATTAATGGGAGAACTGGAAAGAAAATTTCAAGTTGAAACAGAGGAAACAGAGCTTGCTAACAGGTGAAATAATTCTGTCTTAGCATCAGTTTGTTTTTGAGGAAAAGTAATTAAATACTAATAACTAAAAATTCTACAGTAAATATTCAAAGTGAGCAAAAATAATAGTATTTTACTACTAGCCTAATGCAGTTACATTGTACCTGTAACAACACATACATTATTATGTTTATTATGTTTGCTTCAATGATTGACAGGTCCTTCAGCTCATCTTTAGTCAAGATTCCTAAGAGACCATTTGTCTACAGCCACCCAAAGTTAAAGAAGCTGGAAGAAGTTGTACTGGAGCATTTTGATCAGTACAAAAGTGGTAAGTCAGATTGTATATATTTACACTAAGTACTATGTTAATTATAGTTTCATTTAATAATAATAATAAATACGATTTATATCCACCTAGAATGTGCTCAAGGCGTTTTTAAGGCCATTTTTCATTGCTTATGGGTTACATTTTTACTTTTACTGCTATTCCAAGAAGTAGTGACTCTTGGCAAAATGAAAAATTAAGTGTGTTTTGATGTTTTTATTTAGAGAATGGATGTTCTTCAAGTGCAAAAATGAACACGCGTGTCATGATATTCACGCAATATCGTGACAGTGTGAATGAAATTTCAACTATGTTAAATCAGCACAAACCATCAATCAAATGCATGCCTTTTGTTGGTCAATCGTCTGCAGGTAAATCAACCAAGGGAGTCACGCAGAAAGAGCAGCTACGGGTAAGGGTGTATTAGATAAGAAAGTAATTGAACTTTGACCTTGTAGCAGCCCTTTGTTGATTTTCTTTTTGACAAGATCAAAACTTGTAGTGGAATTATTTATAGACAATTCTTACCATATGTAGGTAATCTTAGAACTACAGAGTTTAACTCCAAGTCTGAACGTAGCCTTCAACATTGTGGGAATGTGTTGTAAATTGGACACATGATAGCTCAGTTGTAGGACAAATGAGCAGTTTCTGTTACATGGTCCTAGTATATGCTTATCTGGACTAAATATTCTGATTTGATTTTTCTAATCAGGTTGTTAGAGAGTTTCGAGCTGGGGGTTACAATACCATTGTTTCCACTTGTGTTGGAGAAGAAGGTCTTGATATCGGAGAAGTGGATTTAATTGTCTGCTATGATGTCCACAAAAGTCCAATACGTCTCGTACAGCGAATGGGGAGGACTGGTCGCAAAAGACATGGGCGCATCGTAATGTTGGTAACAGAAGGTAAAGAAGAGACGGTTTATAACCAGGGTTTTTATAATAATAAAGGAATTCAAAAAGCTCTACATGGCAATAAAAAAAATCTTCAGCTTTATCATAATAATCCTCGCATGGTACCCAAAGGACTGAATCCTAAAATTCATCAGATGTATCTGACAGTGGCATCAGCTTACAAAAACAAGAATGATGTGAAATCTGCAAGGTCTTCTTCCAACCAATCCAAGATCAACAATCAAACGTGCCCTGGTAAGCATTCATTTCACTGTTTTTTGTTTTTTTTTATTTCTATTTAATTTGTATGTGTAAAATTATGTGTATTATTATTGTGTTTATTCTGCTTTTTATTGCACCATCATGTGCATGATATTATTATTATTGTCATCAGCATTATTATTATTATTTGGATAGGTCCGAAGCGGAAAAATGATGCATTCCTCAGTGAAGAAGAACTCAAGTTTTGGAATCTGCATTACAAACTGGATGATCATCAGAAGGCCAAAATCAAGACGATTCCATCAGGTGGAAGATTCCTTACCATTGGCGACAAGACATCCAAAAAGGTGAATTATTTATACCAGACATATTAAGTCCATGATTGTGTTTTTTAGATCAATGCAGACAATTTATTTTTACCTTTAGACCTTAATCAAAATATCCCCATTGGATAATCATGAATATTCAACCTCTTCTGTTACTTGATGTTACATCCCCCCATTTTCTACCCTTCCATTATTGTTTTCTCTTTCTCCTTGTAAATGTTAAGTCATTTGTGTCACCAATACTCTTTATCAATCATGACTGTTACCTTATCAAATATATTTTTTAATGTATTAACAATGATTAAGTGGTGCTTTAGTTGTAGTTAAAATGATTGTCTTTGAATCCAAGGGTCATGGGTTCAGTTTTTTTTAAGTGACAAGATATATCTCCATGACCAAAAACAATTCCTCTGTCTACGCCTCATTAAAAGACTGTAGAGTATCATGTTTGTATGTTTGCTCTTTTTATATAGAAACAGAAAACTTCATCCAGTGAATTTTCATTGTCTGAGTGGTCAATATGGCAGACAAAGAAACAGCCATTTAAATTTGTTGACCATTCAAAACGCTGTAAAAACTTTGTGGACGTCGAGGAATTCATAGAAGTACAAGGATTTGTTGAAGGCGAGGATGTTTATGGCATGGAGATGGCGACATTTTTAAACAAAGATGACATCATAAAGAAGAGAAAATCAAGAATAGGAATTCATAGGTTTTGTGTTAATGAACAGTTAGACAGCAATGGTGCATCATCAGGGGACAAGAACTCAGGTGGAAAGGATGACAGGACAGAAAAAGATGTATTGAAAAGCAAGTCAAAGACAGGAGCCTCTTGTTCTACAGGTAATCAAGATAAGAGTACACCACTGTTGGACTTGATCCATGATTTGGATGTGAACCAAGAGAGAGGTGATAGAACATCAAAGAATAATGATTTTGTGAAAGATAATACTGAAAGTGCTAATAGCAGTAAAGAGGATGTTGAGCCTCGACAAAAAAATGGTGGAAAGAGGAAAAAGAAAACCAAACATTTAACTCCTGTGCAATATTCTGATGATGATGATTTTGAGTTTAAAGGTGATTTATTAAAAAGCAAGGCTAATAACAGACATAAAGAGAAAAATGATGTGAATGAAGGGATAGCAGCTGTCAACAATGCCATGATGCACAAACGTGAAAAAGTATTAGTACCAGAAGTGATTTTATGTAAATCACCAGAGGTTGAGGAGCTTGATGAAACCCTGCCACCTTGTGACCTATCACATAAAGAACCCTTACCTGATAACCAACATGATGGTGACTTATCAGTTATATTTCCATGCACACAAGCAAGGACTGAGAAAAGATCACTGCCATTTGCCGATGAGATCTCTCAAAAGCCATTTTTTCCACCACCAGCTCCTAACATATCCAGTCTTGACTTTCTTGATGATATTGATGATCTAGAATTAAGTCGTCAACTTTCTATTCCAACCATTGGTGACCACTTACAATCTTTAGACAAGCCTTTTAAAAAACTGATTGAAATCTGTAAGACAAGTTACAGAAAGCACTCTGATGAGGATACTGAAGGAGTAAGGATGACAGGAAGGTGTAAAGTGTCAGAAGGAATTTCCATTATTCAGGTCAGCCCTTCCAAGAATATCTCTGATGAAAAGAGTGCTGCTGACATTAGTGAAAAAGAGATCACAGAGATGGAAAACTATGTGGAGTCAGAATGGGATTTTGATTGGTCAGATGTCGAGGATGAGAAAATTAACCAGTCAACAGAAAAAGAGGGGATTGCTGGAGAGGCAGAGGCTACTCACCAAATAGATAAACGAGTAACCTCTGATATATCACCTAAAAGTGCCTTATTTAATTGGATTGATAATAGAGAATTGCTTGATGAATGTAGGACTAAAGTATGTATCTCATCTAAGTCAATCAACAAAGACAGTAAGGAATGTTTGGAATCAAATGGTGGCATGAATGTATCAATTGGCAGTAAACTGTATAGTAGTAAGTCAGTACAAAAGATCACTTTATCAGAACAGAAGATAACATTACCGGAACAGAAAAGGATTTCATCAAAAATTGAGAGAACTTCAACAGAACAGAAGAGAACTTTGCCAGATCAGAGGAAGACTTTACCTGACCAGAAGAGGACTTTACCAGAACAAAGGCAGACTTTACCTGAACAAGAGAGGACTTCACCAGAGCAATCCCAAGGCTTTAGTCCTTGTTTGTTTCCTGAGAATTTCATAAACAACAGAACTGTTGGAATTCAAGGGATTGAAGAATTGTACCCACAGCTAGGAAATGAAAACCAGGAACCTGAAAAAGTTGAAAATAAAAGTATAGTAATTGATGAAAATATTAAAACAAAATCTGATTCAACTTACAAAGAATTTGATCTTCAGTTTGATCTTGATGACTTTTTAAATGACGACGATGACGATGATGATGATGATGATGATGATATAATTCCGCCAACACCTGCCAAATTCAACAATCAGTCTTTAAGATCTCAACCAAGTCAGTTGTTGCTAGGGAAAATACCTATGAAACCTGTTAATCAAAAACTGCAAAAGAATATAGATGACTTTGAATCAACAAGTATCTTTGATTCAAAATCTTCTACACCTAAGCAGTTACTGCTGAAGGGCACGTCAAATGTCCCTGTGGCGTCTTCAGAATGGTATTGTGATACCGTGTATTCAGATTCCTGCCAGACATCGTCACTTTCCACACTACAGTCCTGTACAGATTCAACCAATTTCAGACCAAACAGTTTACTGACACACAGTAAATTGCAGTCCGGTGGTGAAGGCAAAGGACTGAATTTTTTAGCTGCAAGCAATGATGCACCTGATGCAAAAAAACAGGTGAAATGTATTCCGCAAACTTCAATGCTTCTTGATGAAAAGAATTATCATAAAGGAAGTGACATTGAAAGTAAAGGAATTAAAAGGAAGAGTAATTCATTCCCATCTTGGAAAAATGATAGTCAGAAGAAAAGGAAAGTGCTTACAAAAGACTTGGATGTGGCAGCTAATGACGGCATTGTCTGCAGAACTTTGAAATATAAATCTGATTCTGTAACAAAAGGTAATTGCGAGCTTCCTCATGGAAGCTCTCGATTTTTGTTTAGTTTCTCTCTGAATGTGTTTTTTGTCGCTAAAAGTCACTCAACCTCAGAATAGCTTGCTATATAAATGATGCATTTTATTATTACAGGTCTCCCTCCAATTAAAGACCATGTTTCTGTAACCCCAAAGTATCCTTTATCTTTATTATTTTAATTAGAGACCAAAGCTCCTAAAGACCATGGAAATATCATCCCACACGTGGTCTTTAATTGGGATGGATACCTGTATTATTTCATATTAATATTATTATTGTTAATATTATTAAGGTTATTTCTCTTCATTTCTTAAATATTTCATAATTAAGAATGTCATATAGAAAAATCAAAGACTGTATACTTGATTGCCCTCAAAGGGCAGTTAGTAAAAACAACTGAACTGTAGTCAGAGTGTATTGGGTCAATACATTTTGTTTGTTTTTTTTCAAATTCCCTTTTCATACAAATTATCATGATGATTTATGTCTAATATTTCCAAAATCTGAATATAAAATTTTTAAGAATATCATATTTATGATGCTTCAAGGTCCTAATGCGCAGCTTATAGGTAAAAATTATGAAGAAGATGATGAGATTGCTGATGATAGTGAAGATGAAATTCAAACAAAAAGGAGAAACAAGAAGAATGTGCTATCATCTCCCGTATTTAAAACGCCAATCAAACCAGCGAAAAGGTCAAAATTCATCGTTGTGTCCAGTGACAGTGATGATGATAAGGTAATTCTGAAGTACTCAGATTCTCATTATTAGTCACATGTGTTACATGATATTCTGTAACCTGAACTATCCCAATGTTATTAAACTTGAGGAGATGTAATTATAGTTTAACATCAATGAAAATAATCTGTAAAATGCTGGTATAATTAAAAGGGTATTGAGAGTACAATAATGTTATAGCTTCATCCAAGCAGACCTAGAATTATTCCCTGGCACCCTCTCTGAATTTGTTAACTATGCACCTGATAAAACAGTACTGTGCTCTACAAAAATAGCTCTCCATAAAACATCAAGCATACATGGCCATTTGCTGGTATGTCAGTGCTCAAAATTCCCAATCATTTGTTATATCATTTAGAAAAAAACGTACCTATAACATATAATAGTAATGCATTTTGTTAGTGGCATATAATTATAACACTTTGCTTGATAATATTAATGTTATTTTCGTCACAGATAAGCAATGATGAATTGCCCAGTCCTTTGGGTCAAAGGTTACTGAAAAAGTCAGGTCTGTCATCTACTTTGCTTAATAAGTTAAATGATGATGAAGATTTTCAAGACTTTACTGGTAAATTTTAAAACAATTGAAAATTTTTAAGTAGAAAATGTTTTTTTGTTTTTTTTTATTTACACGAGGCCAATAAGCTGATGAATGTAGATAGGTTGCTTAAACAGAAGTGCTTTGAAAGTAAGTAGCAAGATCTTGAACTTAATGTGTAAGTCAGTGGAAAACCAGTGGCGGTCTCGGAGAACAGAGTGAGAGTGACGTTTTGTGAGAGCAAATTTTGTGAATGTTAAGATACCGTAATTGAAAAGGAATTGCTAATTATGAAACTAAGAGAAATTCCCAGTCAGTAGTGAAAACATGTACAGTAAATATAATGAATTTGATGGGTTAGTTTCCGGGAGATTTTTGCTTTCATGTGGGAAGCCGTCTCAATCCACTCTGGACGCTTGAGACCCCTGATATTGAGGGCGAACACTCCAGTTTATATACAAACATACAAAACCTAATAATAATTGCAAAATATCCAACTGAAAAAAGTGTTTGTAGTTTGATTCAAAATAGAATAAATGTACATTTCAGTATAAATGTGCTAGTAATTGCTTAGAACATTCGTACAAAATCTATTAGTAATTGAAACTAAAAAATATCTTTATAGCTTCAATACTAAGCCACTAGAATAATTTTACATTTGGTAGTACAGTTATTGCTAAATATATAATACTGACTTTAGGCTATTAGATAATTATACCACAGAAGCCTATATTTCCTTTAAGTCTACTTCATTTACTGTAATGTTAATTTATTTGTTGTTTTTTTTTTAGATGTCCGTAAAAGGCTTACCACACCGGTTCATCGAAAAAGAGTTGAAACAAATTCTAGAAATATAAAGCACAGAAGAGATAAAGTAAGTGAATTAACTAGGCCAATAGCCAGAATTAGAAAAATGGGGTTCAGGGTCAGTGCTACAGTAGGTTTAAGCCCAGGACAATGCTTTAGAGCCAGCGCATTTTGTGCACATTCAAAGTGTAATAAAATGTATTTAAAGAAAAGATCATCTATCACCAATTTAAATGACCAATAAAAGACAAGAGAGAGAGGAATACTGGAGAATATATCTTGTCACTTTCCCCACCCCAGACTATGCATCTGCTATGTAGTTAATTTTATACCATTGAACAAAAAAGTTTATTTCCTTGGTAACCTCTCTGGCAAAATTGTATTAATTTTGTGAAAGAAAAAAATTGACATGGAATCGACCCAACGTCTTATGTGTTGTCAACACACTTAAAGTTGCCAAAGACAAATACCAGCTGTCATGTCGCTCATTGCTTGTTTCAATTTGGGGGAAACCCCTTTAGGGGATTGCCCAGAGGTGCTCTATCTAAAAATCAATAGAGGGTGCATGTCAACAAGACAGGTGGCCAGTTCCATTAAGCTGGCATAATTGAAAAGTGAACATGAAATGTGTGGTAAGATTAACACAATAATGAAAAATATTTTGCCAGAAAAATATTTTTTTTTTGTTTCCTTTCACATCCAAAGCAAGAACACTTTGTGCGTAGTTTACATTTTTTCACATTTTTACATCCTATATAGATCAAACACAGGTATTTATTATCATTGTGATTTTCTTTTTGCTGGTCTTGCATTGACCCCGCAATATGAAACATAATGCCAGCATAAATCCTGATTTTCATTTATATTTCCAAATCTTTAATTTATTTGTAACAGAAGGTGCTCAAATATAGATGAAATACATGATTAATGTAGATTTTTATCTAAAGACCAGATAAGTAAGTTTGATGTTTATCCATAACAGTAGTAAAGACAATAACCTAGCCATCAGAGACAGTGTTTTACGATTAATATCACTGCCTACTAAAAATAAAACAATTGCCATGTATTGACATTAAGAGCTAAGGACATGTTTATTACATCCAAATGAAGCTGTCACAACCTTCTTAAGTCTTATATTTGAAAAGCTACAAAACGAAGCCAGGCATACTTTTTTTGTCTCAGCAGACAACATTAATTAATGTGTTCTTGTTTATAAGTCAAAAAGCAGCTTAATAAACCATTGTTGATATTGCAATCAAAATTAAAACCCCAGAATGACTTGTTTCAATTAAACTTTCATCATTGGAATAAAAAAAAATCTTCTGACCTTTTTATGTCTTTATGCTTTATCTTTTTATAGTAATTTTTAAAATATTTTATGCTGTATTGTATTCTGATGTCCAACTTTTTAATCTTTCTATGTTTTTATGATAGCAAATAAAGAAATCACATCAGATGTTATTTTGCCTCTTACACAGTTTATCATTCAGCAGAAAATTATATTTAATCGTGGCTACAAAATTGAGATGTACGTTTTTAAAAAAAATGCTTGTAAAATAAGTCTTGGGAATTCTGTATCATTACAGTAAAATACAATAAATAATGCAGGCAGTAATGGACTGAAAAAAATGGTCAAGCTGTTAAAAATAGCAACTCAACTCTACAGCATTGAGAAGCATTTGTCAGATAACATGTATATAATATAGATTATGCTTGTATGTCTAGGCTGAGTGTACTTCCATATGTAACTTTATTTTGAATTCTGTCATGTGTTTAATCCCCCGACGGGGGGCCCTGGCCCCAGCCCACCGCTGGCACCTCTCCTGGTCCTTTTTGGTAGCCTTTAAATCGTTTAAAATCTTTTATTACTGTCATTGATATAATTCTAAACTAGTAACATTTTAATGAATGAATAAAAGTATATAGTGTAACTATAATAATTTATAGTAAAACTATATACTGTAATTGAAATTCATTAATATAATAGAATGGAAACTAGAGAAAAAAATGAATCATGTAAATAATTAAGTGTATAATGAAAATCAGTTGATAAATTGTATCATGAAACTATATAATGAAACTGTAATGTAAATGAAACTATATAATGAAACTGTAATGTAGTATAGAATAGAAAATAAAGAAAAAAAAATAAAACTGTATAATAATTATAAATGAATAATGTAAATAATGAAGTGTATAATGAAAATTAATTGATAAATTGCATCATGAAACTAATTAATGAAACCGTAATGTAGTATATAATGGAAACTAAAGGAAATATATAAAACTATGTAATGAAAATACATGAATTAAGTAAATAATGAAGTGTATTATGAAAATCAATTGATAAATTGCATCATGAAACTGTAATATAGTATATAATGGAAACTAAAGAAAAAGAACTATTTAATGAAAATTAATTGATTAAGTAAATAATGAAAATTAATTGATAAATTGCAAAAACTGTAATGTAGTATAGAATGGAAACTAAAGAACGAAAAATGAATGAAAATCAATTGATAAATTGCGTAATAAAGTTATATATGAAACTGTAATGTACATAATGAAAATTAATGAACTAATACAAATACACAAACTTTACAAGAACCATGAAATAACCATCATCTAAATGTGTTTTTTTTGGGTTTTTTTCATTGAAAAATTGGTGAAATGTTTTGCCAAATATTCCTGCTCCTTAGATGCTTTTTCATAATTTCCTTTGCATTTCAGTGGTTACATACTATTATATCTAATAGAAGATATAAAAATATATGGGCCTGCATTAGAGAACAGAGCAGAACACTGAAAGGATAAAATATGATATATGCAAGGTTGACAGTTCCAGTGTTGACTAAATTACTATGTGAATGGGACTAATAATTGATGTATTACCGTATAGTGACGCTCTTTGTCTACTGACTAACATCTTTCTATATTTTTGTTTATTCCCCGACGATTTGGTGCCTTCATTGTTTTTTTTCTCAGTGTTTTTAGTTTTATTCTCATCATTTCATATTATATATTATTAATATTAATAATATTATTAATGATAATATATACATTTAATAATGATATTGTATTTTAAAACATTAGCATATATGTTTTTTAATTTAATTATTCCGTCTGCCTCAGGTCTAGTCTGGCGGATAATTGATGTGCTTGACTGTTTACTGAGTAGTTGTTACCATACTGGTATTGTGTATGCTTTACTCTCTCTTCTGCTGTGAAGTATTTTCTATTTTGAAATGCATCAGCATGCTTGCTGTAATTTGTTTTGCTACTGTAGGAATTTTATTAATCAAGGAGTTGTTATGACCGAAGGCAAAGATTATTGTCCAATGCGGAAGAATAGAACAGCTCAATATATATAACTGTCTGTTGCTTAAAAAAAAAGAAAAAAAGACAGTGTTCTATAAAAGTTTTAGTATCCTAATAAAACTATCACCAGGTGTGTCCCTTTATAAATAAGGCCAAGGCCAATTATATGAGGAAATTGTAATGTGCTTAAATGTTATGTATGTAAAGATGGATTAATTTCAAAATAGGATTTATTGTATTTTTTTTTTCACATCCAGCTGTCTATTTTATTCAATTCAACTTTTATTTCAGAATGTTTTAATCTATATAGGACTGCATATATAAACTCAAAAAACAACCACTCAAACTACAGTACATTTATGAGGGTGTGTTTTTTTTAGTTATACAAAAAATCCTAATATAAAACCCTGTTTATACCATCAAATCTCAGTTGACACAAACATGCGACATACCTAAATATAAATAGTATAATAGATACTTCAAGTATCGAAATGCACACCATCGTGTCGTGATTCAATATTGCGACATTAATTATGTCATCATCATTATTTGGACATTAATTAGGCCAAATAAAAAAAATTATTGTGTTAGCCACGCCGACCGACCCAAAATCTTCGAAATTCAGAGTCGCCATTTTATTTTTCCTACCGACCTACCCCATTTTTTGGATTTTTCCAAAACGTGGCCAACACAAGTTTTTTTGTTTATTGGCCTTATATCATCATTTCCTGATGGTGACATAATTAATGTCGAAATATTGAATCCAGGCACGATGGCGTGCATTTCGATACTTGGAGTATGTATTATATTATCTTATCTGAGATTCATCAGTGGACCTTTCAGTTTTGGGAAAATGCCTAAATATGGTCATGATAACATCACATCATGGCCATATAAGCACATCATGACTATATATATGGGCATACTTTTTTTTTGTTGTAACATTTGATAATCTGGACAGAGCTTAACAGGATTTGAACCCAAGACTCTGGAATTGGAAGATAAATACCAAGCTACAGTGCCACTTTAAATGATGTGGGCTGTAATGCTATCATATCAGTGTAACTTAAAATGGCAATAAAAAGAAGTAACCGATACTTAAATGAAAAGTGGGCTTCCCTCTTCATTTATAGTTAAGTGCAACTTTTAAGATGTATCTTTCTATAGTGGATAGTTTCAACAGCTGTTCATCTCATTTTTCATAAGACTTGGATAATATAACTATAATAATGATTAATTTAATAAAAATTCATGTGCATTATGTAACTTTATCCACTGAAGCCTACTTAGAGTGCAGGGAAATACAGGTGTAATATAAAATGGTAAGTTTTTAATAATAATAATAATAATAATAATAATAATAATTTCACTAAATCTGGCTTAAGGGGAATATCTGTTGTGTTATTTTCCCCTTAACGTCATTTTTTTCAGTTCTCTAATTTCTCCATTGTCTAAGTTCCCCTTATGGTAGGTTTTAGTAAGATAAATAATAACAATAATAATAATAATAATAATAATAATAGTAATAATGATGATGATGATGATGATAATAATAGTAATAATAAATAAGATTTATATAGTGCACATATCCTTTTAAGAAGTGCTGAAGGCACTAGAGATGGGAACATGAAAAATCTGAAACTAGAAAGTGTGGAAATTAATCCATGAAATGTCCAAACTAAAACCATCATCTTTCAAAGTTGGTGTAATGTGATCATGTTTCTATACTGTATGTTACAAATAATTCTGGTTACTTTTAGGTATATGAAATTGAAACCTTCATTTGATGAATAATAGTAAGTGTATCCATATACACATTAAGTGAAGGCCTGCATGAGCTTGACATCAATACATTGGCCATTTGATCAAACACCTATGAAACACATACTGTACTAAGTATCTGGGAGAGTACTTCATAATGTACGTAGCATCCAAATCTACATGTTACCAATGTATATTTAAACACAGAAACGTCATGAAAACAATAAACAATTCAATTAATTTAATCTTTTATGTCCTCAATATGTATTATATACAACGGTAACTTTTCAAGGTGTAATATAGTAATTACCTAACCAAAGAGCGCCCTCTATTACTATTTCCCCTTTTCAACACAGCTTCCAAACATGTGGTGACGCCATTATTCCAGTGAATGTTGTTTTTGAATTCACTCCCGTTTGTATTGATTGTTTAATCCAGCAGCACATCTGTTTGCTAGCGATCGATACCATGGAATATCAAATGGAAATGATATTGATTAGGATGCAGAACATGAATTAGTACCGATTCGTTCAATATCAAGTTTACGTTTACTGTACTTCTGAACTCCTATGAAATGTTTTATTCATGCTATAGTCATGATATGCCTATATATACTGTCTCTTATACACATCTAGATGTGTATAAGAGACAGCATACATATATAACAACATTCATATATATATATATATATATATATATATATAAAGATGAACAGCTAGTCGGGCATAGCCCGTCCTCCCCTGAGCTTGGTCCATTATAAACAAAGCATATTAGGCCACTGACTGTGTCACTAATTTGACACTTCATCTTCTGCAATTACATTTGAGTCTCTAATTGTGTTCAGTCAAATATAAATAAGTCGTTCTTAATTTGATTTCTAGCATGCAGATTATGTGAATGTTACACCACATAAACCTTATGTGTAATTTATCATAGTTCAGGTTGGCTAGAAGTAATGTTTTCTAATTATTAGTGTGATCTCTAGGGCCTAACTTCTTCTTTGTACTTCTCACCCTCCACACACAAAAGCTAACAGCTTCAAACTAAATCTTTTGACAAAACATAGTGAGTTTGCTTGAGCATATTTTGATTAACAAGTGGCAGATCCAGTGGGTGGCACTCCACCGCACCCCTACTGCTTGTTACAAATATTTCCTGTAGCATTTGAAGCGTTTTCTCTCAGTATAACATAAAAATAAAAATATGTCTGTGTTTGATAAGTTTTTTTGCCATTAGTAGTCAAATCTTCGTCTATTAACTGCTGTACTATGGATTCTGTAGAGCAGCATAAATCTTTTGACAAAACATAGTGAGTTTGCTTGAGCATATTTTGATTAACAAGTGGCAGATTCAGTGGGTGGCACTCCACCCCACCCCTACTGCATGTTACAAATATTTCCTGTAGCATTTGAAGCGTTTTCTCTCAGTATAACATAAAAATAAAAATATATCTGTGTTTGATAAGTTTTTTTGCCATTAGTAGTCAAATCTTCGCCTATTAGCTGCTGTAATATGGATTCTGTAGAGCAGCATAGCTCAGTCGGCTAAACTGGTGGTATCGATAGTGTGTGCACTAAACCTTGGAGATCTCTTGGTCCCTCAATTCCCATCGCTACTCTCCTTGTATTTCAGCTGGAGAGCTGAAAATGCAAAGTTAAAATAGCAGGCCCATAACTAGGATTTTTTTGGAGGGGTTCAAATTTGGAAAAAGTGGAGCTTTTTTGAAGATGTTAACGACCAACCAATTGCGCTGACCACATAAATAAGAGTTCCATCTTGAAACTTGTATTAAAAGTTGCTACTGTCTATAAAGAACAAGATTGTTTTTTTTTTTTTTAAGTTTAAGCAATCTTCTTTTTTTTTGCCATCCAAGCGGAGCCAGCTAGCAAACGGCGGGGCTCGTTTTTTTGGAATCCCCACTGAATATTGGTATGAAAACAACGTACATTCAATCAATAAAGGTCATTTTTATCAAACGTAAATATGATTTAGTTTTTAGTTTAATGTAACATTCGATAAATTTGAAGAATATAAAGAATTCGCTAAAGGTAGACTAGGCCCAATTATCAAGCATCACGGTAAAAGTGGCCGTCCTAAATAATTGTTGGCCGTCCAAAACATGGTCAGACGGCTCGCTGGCTATTAAGCCTATGGCTAGTATCCTATAAGGCGACAAGATGCTCTCTCCATTAGTTTTGTCTCTAGCTACCAGCTTTGCATCACCCCAGTTTTTTTTATTGTTATCTGGAACTTCCCATGGTGTATCTTCATCCATTTGTCAAATTTTCCCTGGAAACTGGGCCATAATCCATCGTAAATATTCCTATGGGAAGCCACTATATTAATTACTCCATTTCATTTTCATCATATAATAAAGATCTCATCTTCTGCATCAGGTATTTTGTTGCTTCCACAAAAATCAATTAATTATGTGAAATGTTCAATTTGATGAATAAATGTTAAAAGCATCACAGGTTACGTGTAATGACAATGAAATCATGCAGAATAATTGCTCTTTATCTGCAAAGCAATTGCAACATTAATTGACAAAAGGGGTTTCTTCACCATCCATCTTCCTTAGTCCTGCTAAAGTTCGTCTGCTAAAGATTTCTTCCGTTGGCTCACATACAATTGCTCGGGGGCTGAACCTTATTGTGGTTTTTAGTGTCTATATTCTCTTGAAATCATTGCAAAAGGAGGCCATTATAATATTTGGATGATTAACCTCATAAATGTAAATTCTGAATGAAGATGTAGTCCATTAAAAGTAGATACCCAGGCAAGGCCTTTGGCTTAGGCTTTGTATAAATTTACACTTTCTTTATATACAGAAGCTTTTATTGTTTTTTTTTTAATCATCATTATTATGATTATTGTTAGTAGTTAGTGATGGTGGCTGCAGGTAGTTGTATATGTATCCAAATGTTATTATTTTTGTTATTATCATCATTATTATTATAGGCGTCACATGTTTGTGTGCTGTATGTTTTTACATTTTAGCATTTCACAAATAAGAGCCAACCCAAAATGTATGATTTGTACATTGATAAATGAAGTTGCATTGTATTAGTAATGGTAATGTTGGTCGTGGCAGTGTAAGTGTTATTATTATTATATTTTTATTTTAAAATTAAGCTGAAATTGTTGTAATTACAAAATCAATATATTATATAATAAGTACATTCAATACAAAAATATTATAAGATATATTACATCATATGCAAACAATCTATAAAAGAAATTTATTTATACATTTTGAATTTACAGAATTAAAAGCTCAAGGCTTAAAAAGACTTAGCAAAATATGTTACAGTTAATTACATTTATTGCATGTATTAGCATAAGTTATATATTAGTACTATTTTAGGAAAATTGTGTTTTCTTTTATGAGCCATTTTAAGTACTAACAGAGTGAACATGTTTGTAGTTTTTGCACCTGATTGGTTATATTAGATGATCCTATTTCATCAGCTGCATAATAAAGTGTAGAATGAGTGACATCATCACAGATGGTTAGATCACAGTGGTATGACTGATTCAGAAATATTATTTCAGTAACATCATCAGAAAAAGTCTGAACAGACACAGTTTAATCTGACAGACAAATATTTAAAACTCTGTCCAGACTATTAAACTGTTGTATGCTTAATATACTTATATAGTCATGATGTGCTTATATATGGTCATGATGTGATGTCATCATGACCATATTTAGGCATGTCACATGTTTTTGTCAAATAAAATTTGATAGACTGGAGAGGGCTTTAAAGTGTTTGCCAGGAAGAATTTTTTAATTTATAAAACACATTTTAACAATTTTTGTCTATTTAACTTCAGTTATAAAACTTGAAATTTTATAGATAGAATTATGGTATTACAGTATGGTGAATAAACTGAAAACTTTTTTTTATAGAATCCAACCTTTGACCTGTTAGACTTGGAGGCTGATGTTGAAAGTGGTGCAGACTGTTCTTCGGACGAAGCCGATGCCAGTCAAGTTGATCAATCAATTTTGGACTTCATCAACGACAACACTGTTTGTTCGCAAGGAGGTATGCATTAATGTTGTTCCTTATCTGGAGCTGTCTCTTGGTGGTTAACATGTTTTCTGTCAAATCCAGCTTATTCAAGGATTTTTCTCAACTAAATATAACTCTTCTCCTTATACATTATAATGAGTCTAGAAGTTGATTTCATTTTTTGAGGGAAAAGTCACTCAAAGTTTATTGAAAATGAAATGAAAATAATAAATATAAAAACAAATATACTATAATTTTACCTAACCAAACTAAATTGCTTTTAGTTTGGTAAGTAAATACTTTCAAGCTTCACTTGTTAAAAATACAAAAATATAAAGAACAAGAGAGGGTTAACATTTAAAGATAGGTTATAAATAAATTAACATTATAAATTCAACTGATGAGTACATCATAAATTATTATAATTACATTGAAATATATAAGAGTGAAAATATTTGTTAATAATAGAACATTAGGGTATTAGATTTAATCATGTTTGTTGAGTATTGCAAGATGACCTTTTTAGTGAAAATCAGAAAATTTTAGTTGCAAAACCTAATCTTATATAAGTTAAATTTTTGCAATACCTGTATATGGATAAAATGGATTGAGGTTATAATAAAACAAAAGTCTGTGTAGGAAAGAACCAAAAAATTAACTAGTATAAGTTAACAAATTGGAAAGCAAGTAAAAATACAGTACCATAATTCTACCACTAACTTAATAACTGTACAACATAAAGAAAACATATAGATACATTTTATACATTGAATATGGGAATGACAACATTTTGTAACCAGGATCTTCCAGAACCCAGACCCCCTACAACTCTACCACAGATGTCTAACAATCCAGCGACTTTGAGACCTGAAATACCCTGACCAGTTACAAAATGTTGAGGCTGCTAAAAACACCCACAGCAGAGTTACATAAAACAAATTCCAGGTCATGAAACATCCAGGTTAATAAGCGGGTAGATGCCCATTTTCATTAGTTCACAGATAACCATTCGAGAGTAGCTGTAACATTCAATTTGTAAGTCTAAATAGTAAAAAAACAGATTGGTTAGTCCTCATTATGAGGCTTAGGGATTTTTTTTTCTGGTGTTGATAATACTTGAATACTGATCCCACCTCCACCTTTGTACTACCATGCAACTTAGTATTTATCAGAAGGCATGGTTAAAAAAACTGAAAAAAAACCAAACATAATAGGTTTCCTTAAATGTAATTTTAGAATGCTTGTCAGGTATTTTGACAGCCATTACTGTGAAGTATGACAAAGCATACTCTTAAATGGGATTAGAAGCATTTGTCAGATTATTATACAGATATTGTAGGAGTTGGCATACATTTAATTATTACCATAATCCACACATATATCTTGGGAAGAACGTTGGCAAGTTCTTCTCAAAGAAGAATGTAATTATTGGTGGTTATAGCTCATATTTAAATGTAATGTGTGTTTCAACACTCTTCCATGACTAAAACTGATCTTGAGCCCGTGGGGCTTAATCAGTTTCCAACCTTCCTTCAGCAGGCTTACATTTATCATCGTAGACATCTGAATAATTCACAAAACTACACTGATTAGAATCTTCTGCTCCATAGAAATCTCTGTTTAGGCTAAGAAAATAGAGATTTTATTCATATATTATTCAATGGTTAGTGGGTGGACTTGTAGCAGAGGGTAAGGAAAATTACTTACAGTATACTAGAGTAACTATCATATTATGTTATCGATGGGGATCCTCCCCTACCCTTTGGGCCCTGAAACTGGTTCGTCGGTACGACGAGAGAGATTGGCCCTTTGACCACGTAGGCCTAGGAAGTAGGCCTACTTGGTGGTACTTTTTTAATTTTGTGAAATCTATGTATGAGGTATATAAAACAAATATTTACTGCTCTAGATTTGAGAAACGGTAAAATCTACAGCTCCTTGGTGATGTGAAGACCTACCCTACTGTCTCCACATCACCTCAGGGCAATTGATTTCACCGTTCCTCTCATGAGCAGTCAAAATTTGTATTCTATAGCAATAATACTAATTATAATAATAGCAGTAAGAAATGAAATGAATTACAAATAACAAATAAAAATTTACAATCAATCATATAATAATTATTTGAAAATAGCACATTGTGAATATCTGATTATTATTATTTATTATTACTATTGAGCATTATATGATAATAATATTATATTTCAGCTGATTTGCAGGCAGTTTATTTACAGTCGCTAAGAGACTCAGATAATCTGAATGTAAACAACCGCTTTAGATTGGCACCAAGGTCCATCATCGACGATGAGGAAATATTCTCACAGGTACCCCAACAAGATGAAGATTATGGTGACGATAGCTTTGTGGTTTACGAAGAGAATGATATGAAAACCAAAGAGGACACAAGCATATTTGATATGACAATAAACCCTAACAATATCATTAATACAAAAACAAGACGAGGTAAGTGCTTGGAGCATCTAAAAATTCAAGCAAACATTGATGAAATGACAAAAACCAAGAAAGGGAAAAGAAAACGTGTTATTACCTATGATTCTTCAAGCGAAGAAGAGAGTATTATGAAACACCATCAAGTTGTGAACTACACAGACAAAGTAAGTCTTGGGAGAAATGGAAGTACATCTGGAAAGTGTTCACCCAAGCATTCACACACAGTAATAGATACTAAAATAAGAAAAATTGATGAACCATTAAAAGTTTATGAGCATGTATCATCCAGAAGTAGCATAACTCATAACAATGAGAGGTTAATCTGTGAGTCAACAGGCTTTAAAACTCAAGAACAAATTGCGCGGGAAGAGCGTCTTAAACGACAAAGGGAAAAGCAATTAGAATTCAGAAGAAAAATGGCAGAAAAAGAAAGAAAATCTGAAGATGCAAAAATATCTGGTAAAATATTAAACACACATTTCCAACAGGAATCAACAAAAACTGATAAACAGACATCGTCAACATGTGAGAAAGATTTATCCATTAGGAATGATTTGAATCTGATTGGGATAAACTTTGAACAAAGCAGAAATGATGGGGCTATCCACAGCTCAAATTATCAAAGGACAGGCTTGACAGCATGCCAGAAGAAAGTGGCCACCGTAAGTCACATGACTAACGAGTCGGATACTCTAAGAGAAGAATATGGACTCAGCCAAAAGGTATGGTTATCTCAAATTCATTATATTTTCTGGATAAATACTTTTTGTAGACAATTTTTTTGTTATTGTTGTAATTGTCATTGTTAATACATTAATAGTTTTCATCCATATTACATTTCTGGTGCATTTGAGAACTAAAAAAAATTTAAATTTTTACAGTATTGTAGCTCTTTTGATAGTTTTTGCCACAAGTTTTAGTATTTCTGGTTATTATTCCAAGACCGACATTTTAGTCTTAAATTGAAACTGATTGCCTTTTACGGTAACGATAATTCATGCAAATGAGTACAGTGCTAATTGAGTTCATTTCATTCATATGGTGTAGTGTTACATGTAGTCAGCGGTTATTATTTGACTCCACAGTATCTCAATTACAGTATTCTTAAATTCATCACCCTCTAATTTAGAAGCCTATATAGAGATAAAGGGCAGGAGATTTATAAGCAGATGGATCATTATTAATTTTTTTTATCAGCACACATTTTGTAATAGTAATAATGTCTTTATTTAACCATGGAAAAAAACTCAATTCAACAGTAAAATATCATTAAAAAATATTACAATGCTATTCTTCTTCTTGTCCGTGGACATAAAATAAATCAGTTAGAATCACATGGAGAAAATTACGAAAAATACAATTTATAAAAGAGAAACAAATAACAACATTAAAATTAGCAAATAATATGGATGAGAGTAAAGTGAACATGGAATATCTTATTAAATTAATTTCAAAAGAAGCAATTTACAACAACCAAAAAACGACAAAGCAATTCAAATCATTGAAGTAGAACATTAAAAAATATCAGAGTTTGGATAAAAATTTACAAAATCAAGACAAATAGTAAAAATGATCCACAGAAAGCACTAGACTGGATTTAAATATTTCCTTTAAAAATCAAGTAGAGATTTAGCACTTCTGAAGTGATTTGAATTCCATAAATTGGCACCTCTGCAGCTAAAGCTTCTTTTTTTTGTATTCGATCCTGGGAACATCTAAATATATATTATTTTTCGACCTCGTGTCATATTGTGAATTTCTTTGATGTACAGTATGCTTGTGTAAATTTGTCTTCTGACTTTTAGTTTCTGTGTAGCCTAGGATAGCTTTGTTTTTTCTTGTTTTTCCTTGTTTTGCGCATAGAGACCATGTACTTTGCGCTATATAAGTCTCCAACCATTACCATTACCATTAACCATCCATCCTCATTTGGCTGTAATGAAGCTCATAACCAAATAGATACATTCTAGAGTAACAAATAAATGATCTGAATACAAAACATTTTATAATTATAAATGGATCAATTATAAAGATTAATAGGTCTGCGCAAGGCAAGCCTCGCTGCTGTTCTTGTTCTTGTTACCAAAACTTTAAAAGCCTCCAGCGTCGCCAGGTTTGAACAGATTTCCAACAAACGCTTATCGCCCCTTTTTAAGTTGGACCCCAGGGTTCCCCCCTACACCTACAAAACAAAACAGGGGTTTCAGCAAAGACTGTACATTACTGCCATTACCACTAATAGAGCATGTTGCATGGATGGCGTGGTCGGTTAAGGATGTGTTCTAAACAACTTAAGATTGTGAGTTCAAATCGCGTCTTGGTTTTAATTTTTTTTTTTTTTCATTTTTAAGAAATATTATTTTTTTCAATTATAAGATATTTTAATTTTGTACAAATGAACATTCTAAATAATAATTTTTTTTGTACAACTAAACATTCTATTTATTTAAACATTTCTATATTATTAGCTCTTCCAAAAAACCAATATAATAACTTGTACCTTTAACTGTATATAAGCGTGGAGGAACGTGCGGACTGGTGAGCTTTCGCTCTTGTCTTTGTAAAAATTTAAAAAATCACCAATTAGTTAAAAATTTCAGATCAATATTCCTGATTCCTTTTGTCTGCACATCAGTGGCAGATTCAAGGGAGCCCACTCGACCAGTCTTCCCCTCACCCCTAAATTTTTCAAAATTATAAAAAAAAAATATTTTCATAAGTCTGAGATTTCCAGCCATCTACAGGTAGGTGTCATAATCATAAATTTTCTTGCCTCAGCCCCATCCATGATGGGGATAAGGTGGTGTACATCCTCTTCTGTAAAAGTCCTTTTCTGGGCCCCTCTAATTCAAATTCCTAGATCCCCACTGCATCTGTGGTTGTATTCTCCACTCCCCTCCCCCCTCATACATCAGAGTTCAGGAATTTACTGCCTCATACATCAAAGTTTAAAGAGTGAACATAGTAACAGTCAGTACTGGACATTCATGAATGTTATTGACGATTAAAGAGCGCTTGCTTTTAAAAGCAACACACATCTAGAACATCCAGATCCATTTAAATCTTGCTGGAATTGCTTGATTAATGTTCATAGGTTTGCTGGAATTATAAATGTGACAGTACTAAAAAGATTTGCATGTTTGTTGGTACGAGAAAAAGAGTGTATACATCTTAAATTTACTCGCAATTAATATTCTTGGCATTTTTGTGACAACAGTAAACCTATTGTGTTTTGGTTTTTTTTTACTTTATTCCCAATTCAGAATACTAAAACAAATCTTGCCAACACTGGTTACTCATAAAGCAAATGTGTACCCATGTGATAATCATTATTTATGATTCCTCGCTATAGAAGACGTTCGCTAATTACTATAGATTTTATTAATTTGTTCCTTCATCGAATACGAAATTCATAGAAATTTGCACTTCTATAATTACATTACGAATGAGGTTAATTGCAGAGAATAATTTGAAATTATAAGACATAATGAATTGAATATATTTGTGATAACAGCATTAGTTTGAGCCATTGTCCTATTAATGTAGGAATTTGAAATTGGATGATGATGACATCTGATTGGACCAGCTGTATAGAGCTGTATGTGGTGAATGAGTTGTCTTTTTAATGTTGTTGTCCGACCATAGCGCAGGAATTCCGTCAATTAACTAAATACGTTTTAACTAAATACAGTACATTTACAGATACAAGAAACACAGCGCATTTAATGCTTAAACAATTGATAATAGTACTTTAAGAATTTAAAGTATTTTAGCAGTTGTTGATAATGATGATATGTTAATAGTCCTTAATACTTAGCAGTTGTCTCAAGATGGGGTAATGAGTTAACTGTAAGAGGACAGATCAACTTGTCATTTCCAAGAACCCTGACTATTCCTTTTCCTGGTACTATAGTAGTGACAATGAACTAGAAAGGAATATGTAAGTCTAAGCTGTTTATCTCAGTGGGGTTTTTTGCATTTTCATTTTTGCATGCCCATCAATATTTTTTCATTCTCATTCAACTCATCGTAACATTTCTTCTTTTTTAATGTTTGTACTTCAAGTTGAATTTTGATTATGTTGAAGGTGATGATGACAGTGATTATGATGATCCTGACGATGATTGTTATGAAGATGAAATGATGATGTTGATGTTGATGAAAACATTCCTTTTCACTGCTGCAATGAATATATCCAATAAAACATTTGCAGAAGCGCCATGAGTGAGTGTTATAATATATGCGGCGGATACCGACGCTATATAAATGTTATATTCTATTCTATGTTGATGATCGTGATTATTATGATGATGATCCTGATCATGATGATAATAATGTTGATGATGATGATGATAACAATAATAATAATGATAATCATGGTGATCATGATCGTCATCATCATGGTTTTGGCTATGATGTGACAATGGTGAAATGATGATGATGATCCTGAAGATGATGATAATGATGATGATGATGATGATGATGATGAAAACAATGTGATGATAATGATGATGATCATGATCAATGGTGTTGGCAATATGACAATGATGAAATGATGATGATGATGAAACTTATCTCATCAACAGCAATATTCATTATCAATAAGAGGACCATCGCAGCATGTTCTCACCTGATGTTTATCATGACCTACATACAGTCTGCATTGGATGATAGCGTATTTCCACCACACCAGGCAGCAGCCACATTAATTAACCTACATAATCATAGATGATTCATTATTATTCCAAGTTGACATTCTCTGTTTGATTCAATAAAACATAGCATAAATTATATACAAATATTGAAAACATTCATATTCCAAGTATTTCCAAATCTAGATGAAATTCCTAATTTTTACTATAGACTTTCAATTTTTATGTTGTGGGCTGTTTCAGAACTCGTCAAGTTAAACAAATTACAAAATCATTCTTAAAAGTACATATTTAGTTTATAAAAATTCAAATTAAATTTACAAAGTAAAAAGTTATGATTACAATTTAACAATTTAAAAGATAAGATTATAATTTCAAAAATATAAAATCAGAATCAATAGAACATTAACAGTAAAGTACTGAGCAGTAGATATTGACATATTCATTACTGGCCACTAAAATTAAGCAAAAAATTAGCTTAAATATAAGTGGCAAATGTATTAAAACATCTATATTATTTTATTGTCAAATTCAGTTAAAATATAATCATATACAATACAAAAGGTTTACAAATTAAACATTGTGTTTATGGGATGTTGTGGTTGATGTATGGTTTTCTATTTGTATATACCAACAATATTGTAAGTGAATAAAATTTTCTATTTATTGACTACTCTTTTCTTCATCATTTATTGATGTTTAAACACCTTTCCAGGATGACAATCAACCAATTGTTTAAAAATGTATGATTTGTGAATGGTATTTTTATCATAGAACTGTCATAAAATTAGGCTAAGCCAAGTGGTCATGCAATAACATTATTTCCTTCCCCCACTCCACCCCCTTCTCATTAAAAATTGAGAACATGTTGTTGTCGGTGGTAGGCTTGGATTCCAAGCAAAACTAGAACTCTTTCTGTTAGTTCTATTCAATGTTTACAATTAAATCAACAGAATATTACAAAAAAGGCAAATACTCAAAAAAATTTATAAACATGTTGTCCCACAAAATGCACATGTTAGACAATTAGTAATTGTTAACAGATATGTGGCAAAATCAAGCCAAACCAGTCACTCATCGCAAAAATTGATTTTTAGTTATTAATGCAGGGTTAAACAATAAAATGAGAGCTATAAAATGTTAAAAGAATCATTCAAATCCGACATTTCGTTATGAAGTTACAAAAGTTTAAACATACAGCTGTTTAAAGAACACTATTTGAGAAATTAGCCTTTAAAGTTTATGATTCTGGGCAATTTCTCAGGCAGAAACCATTACCAAATCGTTAAAAATTGTTATCTTAACATTGAAAATGAGGGAAAATAACAGCATAGCATGATATATAGGTATATAAAAGTTAGTTTAGTGTAATAAAATAGATTTAAAAAATTTTGTCATTCCAGCATGTTTTGGCCATTATCTCTGAAACTGGATTTGCAACGAGTGACTGGTTTGGCTTGTCTTTGCCACATATATGAATGCTGTGAGCAGAGAATGCAGTAACGAAATACTGTTGTTGAATAAACATGACTTTATTGTTTTTTGGTTTTTTTTCATGTAAATGATACATTTATTCAGAAAAAATCCACAACAAATTACAAATTGCAAATTGTTTACATAGGCATCAAAAGAAGCGGTGGCTTGTCAGTTTGAATACCAAACATACAAAACATACACACACAGAATACATATCTCACATCAACAATTGCCGGCAACTCCAGGAAGGGGAAATGCCTCAGTGATCATCCCGTCATAGTAATAATACCGTGCGCCTCAGACACCAAGACATCTCCGACAGTGTACTGCCCCGGAAAGTGCCAGCGATCATAGACGACTCCCAAGAAATCCAGGCGGATCCAGGAATTAGAAATAGAGGTGGCCCAGTGAGGGACATTCACATATAGAGGGTCCAGCCACCTCAGCCCCACCATGGTTGGGGCTGAGGAAATAAAATTTATGATTACTGTACACCACCTCCAGGAAATGGTATTCTCAGACTTCAATTTGATTATAATTTTTTTTTCTCCATTTTTTTTTATAATTTTGAAAAATGTAGGGGTCTGGGGGGCTGGGCCGGCTTGAATCAGCCACTGTTATAAGAGTTCAACTTATTAAATATGATTTACTTGAAACATATCTTGTAAGGTCAGCTTGGAACAACTAACAAAAGAATAACGGCTGGTGTGCACTATAAAGAACCCAGTACATCTTTCGAGACGAATAGGGGGTTAACCCGGTGTACTAGTTGATGCAGCCCTTGTTGTGGACAAATGAGAGATAGCTAGTAACTGTTTACCGGGTAGCTTAGACATGAAGAGACACTTACTGTGTCAGCTAGTCCACACCTCAAGTGCTTTGAGACTTGGTTAAGTGCTATTTAAATCGAAATACAGTACATTACATTAATATTAAATAAATTTGAATAATATTTTATAACCATGTATTGCCTCCATGTGTATCCAAACCCAAGGCCCTGGGAGATTTCCTCCACCATTTGTACTTCATGCATCTCCAGAATAATTCAAATATTTATATTATAAGTTCACCTGGTAGACAAGTTCATATATTTGTCAGATATATGAATGCCGTGGGCAGAGAATGAAATGTTAATGAAATTCTGTTGTTAAATAAACACAACTGTATTGTCGTAACATATTATGAGATTCTAACTTATTAAATATTAATTCACTTGGAAGTAATGTTAATAGGATATAGTAGTACTGTACTATAAGTGAAGTATAAATCGAATTAGATATATTTTTTGTCAAAAAGGATCAATGCTTGTTTGATGCTTCAAAAAGGTCACATTTTAGTAATGAATTTGATAACTTAATCCACATTTTGATGATATATGGTGGTTACCATTATCAAACAGAATGCATGGGGAGAGTGATGATTTCACTAAACCCTAGAAATAAAGCTAGCTGAGGAATAAGATGCCTTTATACTTCAGAATAATTGTTAAGCTTATCAAATCAGCCCCCCCCCCACTTAAGGCCCACCACTTGCAGTGGCAGATCCAGGAATTCCAAACAGAGGGGACTTTCACAGATGGAGGGTCTACACCGTGATGGTTGGGGCTGAGGTAAGAAAATTTTTTTATTATGGCACCTCTAGATGGGCAGAAATGGCACTCTCAGACTGAAATTTGCCGGCTCGCCTTCTCCCCTCCCCAAGGAATCTGCCCCTGCCTTGGATACTGTTGCTAATGTCCCAAGAATCAGCATGTGTGTTTGTGGTACACTTGTCTTTGTGTAAAAGCGTCTGTCCCTACTCCTGTTCTAAATGTGTTGGTTGTTCTAACATCCTTCAAAAGCTATCTTGTAGACACAGTCATGCCTTGTACATTTTACTGCGAGTCAATTTGTGCTGCTTTTTTTTTTTAATTTTTTTTTTAATTAATTATTTGGTGGGTTTTTTTTGTGCTGAACTCAGTATTAATGATTGAGACGATTATAACCATTTCCACAGGTGTTATTTTGGATGCAGTCAATTAAATAAATATTAACATTTAATCTTGATCCACTGTAAATCTTCTATCAGCATCAGTTAGTGTTAAAAGGTTTAATTAACTTTGATCAATAATTGTTAATGTACTGTACATAGTGATGATGTTATAATGTCATTGTACTTTCTGTCAAATACACGTTTACTAATGTTAGTCTTGCTCCGTTATCTGACAGTTGCACTGATTGCGCATTATAACTTGTGGTCTTTCTCCACTCTCTGGTGAGAATGCTCAGCACCACGCCAGCAGACAACATCATTCCGAGTTATTCTCAGAATGATATTCTGGGAAGAGAGAGGCACATAGATAATGTTCTGTGCCCAAAGGATGCAAGCGAATATGACAACATTGTTGCACAATCTCACAGATGAATGGTTGGTAAACTAAGCATCATAATCACTGTGCAATATGCTTTGTCATTATATGTAAAAAAAAAAAAACATAAAACATTGAATAAATAAATAGAATAACATCTTTATATCCAATGCTCCTTATAATTTTTTTTCTGATTTCATATTTAAGTTCAGCTGGAGCTTGGTGGCTAGGATGCTTTTCCTTCTAATCAGCTCAGTCCCCCCAGAAATTATATCCTAGAGCCACCACTGTACGTATATCTTCTACTACTTCAGCTTTAAACAAGTCCCTGGAAATTCATAACGATAGTAGACAGTAATGTGCAGCAGTGTATTTAAAATACAATAAACTAGTATCAAAACATTTTAATCTCTGATTTTGTTTTTCCGTCACCCAAATTACAGTAATCCCCCAGTTTGAATGCATCGATGCCCTATATATTGAAGTCTCATTATGAGGCCTAGGAACTTAAGTTGTTTTATTCATGAGAATAAAAGCACCCGAGTTTCCCAGAATTTGAATGGTGTACAGCTGCATAATATTGTGCTATTCTAGTAATTCTACAATAATACTAGATCAACGTTTGTCTTTATTGCATATGGCAGTCGGTCCTTTTGTGCAAACTATTTAGTTAACCTTTTGTTTTTTATTGTATTTGATTTATGTTATCAATGTTATTGAATTATTGCATTTTGTTATGGAGTATTACTGGTACCTGTAATTTTGCAGCTGTTTCAAATGAAAAATAAGTAAACATAGTGAAATAGACCTATGCAAAACATGACCAAACATAGAATATACTATTAATAATTAATAATGATTTGATAAATATATGAAATTTAATGCACACATACTAATGTGGAAGAACTCACGGGTGGCTAGATCTACTGTACGTTGAAAATTGCGATACAGTATAACAAAAAACTAGCATACAGTAGTAAACGAAGGCAACTGAGCTGGGAAGATTTGCTCGGGACGGATGAGGTGGGATGGGCAACAAGGATAGGACCACTCCCCCCCCCCCCCAAAAAAAAAAAAAAAATGAGAAGAAAAATCAAGGAATGGAGAAAGAATGGAGTGTGGTATTCCAAAACAAGCTAATTTTCGATTTAATTTCCATGTACCAGTGTGGTCAAGCATTTCATTATGGCCCAAAATTAAATGTGAAAAGCCAAGAAATTCATTACCAAAACAACGAAGTCTTCCACCAATGGCAAAATGGCTAATCTGCTAATCCTGACCAATGTATGTTTGAGATAAGACCCACCCCCTTCCCCCCCCCCATGTTTTTCCTTATGTCTCCTTGTTTACACTTTTTTAATATTGAAATTTTGTGTAAATAAAATAATAAAATAAAAATGTTTGATGTAATTAATTTTTCCTTGATCTTTATGGAGATTTTCTAATAACATTTACTGTTTTTTTCCCAATGATTTTGGTGTTTTTCTTGTATTTTTATCTAATTGATGTCTTTTGAATGTGTATCTTAATTAACTTTTAATTATTCTTTACCTGTTTTATCCAGTCATTTATGCTATGTTTGAACTGATTGCAATGTTGAATTTGATTGGATGCTGCTATAACACGTTAATACCTCATGGGTGAAACTATACAAACTATATATATTTACTATTTATTTTACTTTTAGCATAATATTAAAGAAATTTACCTAAATATTAAATATATTTATCTTGCAAATACAGAGCCAACGGTGTGATGGTCAGCCTGTGGTGTTAGTAGATCCCGGTGTTCTGTCCAGTTGTCCACACATCGCATCGACGTTGGAACTGCAGCATAATTTAAACTCAAACGTACATCAATTATCAGCGTGCGACTTCATGGTCAGCAGTAGAATGGGGGTCATTCGCAAATCATTCTCAGGTCTGTAGGAGAATAAGATGGTCATTCAATATCCAATTCATACATTCGGGCTATTGAAAGATCAATTATGGGATTGGAGTTCAAAGGTCGTTGATGAAATGTGGTCATTCATATGTGAATGATATAATTATTAGGCTATGAATTTAGAAGCCAATGATGAATTGGATTCAAGTGTGGATTACATTTGAAAGCATTGTATTCTCATGAATCTGTCAAAGGACAATGAAACCTGCTTGTGGCTGAGAATGGAGTATATTTGTTTTTATTAATGTGTCTATATATGGTCATGATGTGATGTCATCATGACCATATTTAGGTATGTCATATGTTTTTGTCAAATAAAATTTTATTGTGTGGACAAGGCCTAAGATGCTACATGCTCTAAGTTCTGTACACACAATCAAATTTTGTGTGACAAAAAGATGTTGTATGCCCATATATAGTCATGATGTACCTATATATGGTCATGATGTGATGTCATCATGACCATATTTAGGCATGTCACATTTTTTTTTCAAATAAAATTTGATAGTCTGGACAGGGCTTAAGTCTCCTTATAAATTTGGAAAAACAAAAAAGGGGGTCTTTGTTGAATTAAAGAGTAAAATTAGGGAAAGCTGTCGGCTACTCAGTCGCCAAAAACGCCTCAGATGTTTTATTCGGGCATCTAGAAAACACAAATTTCGCCGGGGAATGCCTCCGGACCCTTAAGGTGGTGTTATCTCGGTCGGCCCCACTTTGAACCCCCTTTCATAGATCTGTGGATCCGCCCCTGCAGGAGTCATAACTTTAACCCAACCCGTAGTTTTATGTTATCCTTATCATCAATTGTTGGTATTAAACCAATTCTACTTGTTTTATTGTACCTAATTCTTTCCATATAGATTTTGCTAACGGAGCCAATAGAAACAAACTAGTTGATCAAGTGCGACATATATTTCGATTGTGTGACCGTCCTTGCCTGATTGTCGAAGCTAATAAGCTGAAGAAACCTGATGAAAAGAGAAATTTGTGAGTACATCTATTACTTGGTTTCTCATCTCAATAGCATATCAAGCAATGATTGGAGCTGCAGAATATAAATAAAATTTCAATCAGAGAATTATAAAACTAAACCAATATTTACATTTTTGGTGTTCCTTTTAAAATAGAAATTGAAATAAAACGTTGGAGAATGCCATAATTCCATAACAAAACGCTGGTTAAAAAATTGTGGTTTTGCATTTAAGTCTATTGAAATAAGAATTATCAATCATAATTTAATATCTCTATTGATGTTCCATTTAGATTTGTGTACAGAAATATATTTTTGCTTACATGGAAATGAAAATCATATTGGGCTACAATATAGTAAAATTTATTTTAGAATTCATAATTTTGTCAAATCTTAATATTGATAATAATGTAAAGACGGAAATTTTCTTTGACAAAAAACTGTTGTATGCTCATATATAGTCATGATGTGCCTATATATGGTCATGATGTGATGTCATGACCATATTTAGGCATGTCACATGTTTGTCAAATAAATTTTGATAGTCTGGACTTTAAGCTTTGTCCAGATTAAAAAATTTTCTTTGACAAAAAACTGTTGTATGCCCATATATAGTCAAATATGCCTATATATGGTCATGATATGCCTATATGACATCACTTCATGACCATATTTAGGCATATTACATGTTTGATAGGCTGGAAAGTGCTTTAAAGTGCATTACACCAGCAGTGTGTACTTTATGTGCTGCACATCATTACGCTAATCACTGGATTCAAACACCTGTGGAACACATTCTCGCGTCCCTGGAGAGAATCCCATAACAGCATAGATTTTATCATTTCGCATAGATATATCTCTGTTTTGGTAAACCTTTTCTATAAATAAGATATCCACATAATATCACCTTGAGTACTGCTACAGTAAATATGTGTGCTTTAATAAATCTTATTATTACTACAGGTCTCATTCTAAATTAAAGACCACCTCTAATTAAAAACCACCTCTAATTAAAGACCACTTTTTTTGGTCCCATATTAACAAATTTAAAATTATCTTTATTATTCTAATTAGAGACCAAAGGCGCTAAAAACCATGGAAACCACGGTCCCAAAGTGGTCTTTAATTGGAGGGACACCTGTATTTGAATTAAAATTCCTTTTTTTTTATCTGCTATTTTGAATACCTGTATTAGAAGGAGGAGGTGCCATCTTTCACTTCTTAAACAATTTATTATTAGACCTTTGCTCTATAGCTTCTGATAATTGGATTAATGATTAATGCATTTCATATTATCTATATCTGTGACACAACCTGTAACATTCTGTCCTCCCTTGTGGGGTATTACTAGCCATGTAGCTGTATTTTGCTCACACATGAATGAACATTATGCTATTGGTTAGACATCAGGGTAAAAATAGACCTTACCCAAGAGAGAAGCATTGACATTGGATGAGTTTGCATGTGTGCTTAACCATGGGGAGAATTTAGCTCCAAGATCATTTGTCTCTAAATCGCTATAGAAGTCCCCAGAATCATTATTATTGTTAATTAGTAGTGGTGGTTCCAAAAATTAGATTGGCCAATTAATACTTCTAGTCGGATAGCCTTTAATTTTCCCCCCTCCACCACTTCCTCATGGTGTTGCCACTGGTTGCAGTACAAACTTAGGTTTAGAGTCAGTGGCGGATTCAGGGCTGAGGGCCTGTCCGGCCAGTGTGACCCCCTCCCCTAAATTTTTCGAAATTATTTTTAAAAAATGGGGGAAAATGCCAAGTTTTAATCAAGTTAAGTCTGCTATTTCCGGCCATCGAGGTGTACATTTTCTTGCCTCAGCCCCAACCATGGCGGGCCTGAGGCGGTGTATATTTCATCTGTGCAAGTCCTTCCCTGGGCCCTCCCCCCCTCTATTTAGAATTCCTGGATCTGCCACTGAATGTGCATGCTAAAGATCTCTGCTTACTTATCACAACTGGAATGTCTCCCTCCCAGGATACAGATCATTATTTTATTTTTTTATTTGTAATTTATTTAACCAGGATAAAATCATATTCAATGAAGAAAGCTTACAACTACAAATGAAAGAGATAATAGACATATTGTAGGTAATATACAGTGTACAATAATAAATAAAGTATAAAAAGAATCAAGACGTAATTAAAAAGTAATTTTCCTTTAAGATTTTAAAATTTAGAGTTCTGGATAAAACTTTGAGAAAGTATTACTAAAAATATCTAAGAAATTAACAGTACAATAATAATTTCAAGATATAATGTAAAAAGGATTGAAAAACTATTTTAAAAATATTTTTCCTTTTAGGATTTTTTAAAATCTAGAGTTGACGTGGTTTTTTGCATTTCAATTGGTATTTTGTTCCAAATTTTAGCTCCGGAGATTTTGAAGGATTGTTTTATTTTAGCAATGTTTTTTATAATTTATACTGCTACATATTCTTATAAGACTTGTTGGCCGATATATAATTCAATATCAGAAAAATCCGGAATTTAATACAAAGGTATAAATACAGAGAGCAAGTTTAATAGATCAGTCACCTTCTGTCAAATCAATTAACCAGCACTTACATCGCACTAATTCTTTCTGAGGGAATGCTCACGAAGTGTCGACTCCTCAGAGTCTGCCTTCAACATTTATAAATAAAGATGTCTCAAGTCTGGGCCTCAGGTTTTAAGGTAACCTTCTAAAATTGTCATAAATCTATTTCATAGTTTCAGGCGCAAAAACAGAACATGCATCAACCCTCTAGGACCTCCGTATTATAATCAAATCATATTTGAATATTGAATTACGTTTTTCAATTCATATTGAATTATACAGTATGCTTGTTTTGTGCTGCTATAATATTGATCGAAATATACGCACATCTTAAAAATTTATGCTGAGAAATCAGATTTATATTTGATTATCCATGGAGCTCATTTGAATATCTAGCAGTATTAACTCATTATTCTGACTTGCATAGTTGTAAAACTTTATTCATGCAAGACAAGGATTTTTTCTCTCTGTAAAAATTATCTTGTAAAAGAATTTAACAAGGTTGATCTTTATCATAAAAATGGTAGAATGTTTACTTTTCAATTGTGATAGACATAAAAATGTGGGCTCAAAATTAATCTTATTAGCTCATGAAGATTGGCACCTAAGGATTAATAATTCAGGGATTTATACCAAAACTCAACTTAAGGAGCTTCAATACATATTTTTTTGTATTTGTTCAGATTATTCCTAGATTTATAATATTAACAACTATACTCTATTTATTTGTTTAATCTCATTAAATGTTTATTCTCTTTGATTGGTTAATTCCTAGGCTTAGGTAACACAGAAACTCTATTTGATTGTTAATTTCATACATATCTGTTTCTTTCATACTTTTTACATGCATTCACAAATACCCAAAAGTAGTGGTATTTTACCATTTTAGCCAATGCCAATCACCTGATAAATGTATTGATGTTAATCCGTTTTATGTTATCATGCGTTCATAAATGTCCCAAGAGTCGGGATTTCTTTAACCTTTTATACCTTTATTCCTCACCAGATAACTGTATATTCATTACTATCTAGTGATCCTCCTCATTATTTTTAAGATCAAATATCATGTCATCCTATTTGTAGCCTCCTGCAGAAATAAACACCATGGATGAATAATAATAATAATATAATAATAATAAATAATAAACTTTATTTATACACGTGTGGCCCAGACTCAGCCAATGGCTGTTCTTCCCTGGGGCCTTGAAACTTTAAAACAGCACACAAAAAGTTGAACAGCAAAAATAAAGAAAATTAAAGAAGGTACGGTATAAATTTGAGGTATAAATTATGATACAAAATTAGGTAAATTAAGCCTGGCAAGAGAAAAAATTACTTTATTAAAAGTGTACAGGTTAAATGCAGTTTGTTGACTATCAGAAAGAGCATTTAGTAAGAGCTTTTCCATCTTGTATATTGCTGTTGTTTGCATCTTCAATAACTATGTCATTGACCTATATGATTTTTTGTCTTATAATATTTTCAGCACCCGCACCAAGTTCTTAGATCGAACCATTGCTCAGTTAATCAAGACTCACATCAAACTGCTATTTACAAACTCAACAGGTAAAAGTACTTAAGAAGAGTGGCTCAGTTTAGATAAGCATATAAAATGGAGGACCAGTGTACACTTCTAATTCATGTGCAATTTAAAGAAAACACTGCGTCTTTTGAAAAAGTAAGGGGTTACCCTGCTGCTGTGGTTCATTTCAGCCGATGTCTTTGTGGAGCGCTGTGAACATAAAGCTACTATAAGCACCTCTCTACAACTGCCAGGTAGCACAAACCATGTCCATATAAATTTCAATGACTGCAGGTTATAGCTTCTTGTCCTACCACTATTTAATATTCATTCAGTGTCATGTATACCATACAAAATTATTTGTAGTCATTAATTATTAGGTAGTTTTCGCCGCACAGCGTTAACGGATGACGTCATAATTTCTTCATCTTGCGCTGTGGAGTACAGTATGTTAATTTCAGGATTTTACGCACTCGACGTACATTAGTGCATGCATAATTTGATTTCTTTACCAAAGGGACGGTGCTATCGCGTTGCATGTTGTGTACTAACGTTAAAGTTAAGTAGTTGTGCGGCGATAACTACCTATTATCTGGTATGGCACTCAACAAATACAAATAAAATATAAAAATTCATTAACCGGGTCTAGTATTCTATTTATACCAGTACTTTTGAATATTTCCACATTAAACTGTCCAAGTAATGTAATATTGAATAATTAATACCACACTATGAAATATAGAGGCAAATGGGAAAAACCCATAAAACAGCAAACGGCCATATAATGCAAAACAATTTAAAATTAAAATTAAAACGGAACAGTAGAGAAAATCCGATAAGAATGACAAAATAAACTAAGCATCCACTGCAAGGAATCCCAATATCTGCAGACGGATCCGTTTCGGCCTTCCAGGCCTCATCAGTGCAGCTAGGGTACAGACCCAAACGAAACGTTCGACCAGCTTAGGTAGGGCCCAAACTAGTCCCACGACCACTAATAATACAGAGCCAAACCAAGGCAATATATATATACACAGCCCAGGTGTGAATGCAAATAGTGGAATACAAGCTATGCGGCTCGGTTCCAGTAGATACAGAGAATATTTTGTCATTCTTAACGCGTCCTACAAAATTCTTACGAGACAGCACTAGTCCGTGAATTTGTGAACAAGATCGGAGATCTAAAGATGCAATCTCTACCGTGCATCAATGCCGGCGCTGGATCTCAATAGAGATTCTTAAAAAATATATATAAGTTTGAAAGGCAAATGGGAAAAACCCATAAAACAGCAAGCGGCCATATAATGTATATATATGTATGTATATGTATATATACATGCTGAGAAAAATAAGGTAAATTTAACAGCTGGTAGATTCAGAGTCATTGGAAGTCATTCTCATTTCAATGCAATTTAATATGATTATCATTCATGTAACCCATCCTTTACATACAGCTGTTGATACTAATATCTCTGCTAGAATACACATCAGAGACAAAAGAATAGGTAATTGTTTTTCGTAAAATGCGCAATTATAGGATTCATCATTACATTGTATAAAAAAATAAAAACTTGTTATTAAACCATATGCTTCAATTGCACTGTGTGTGTGTTTATTGATAGGATGATGAATCATATATATACTGTCTCTTATACACATCTAGATGTGTATAAGAGACAGATTTCATTTACCGTAAATGGACAGGGTCATTGTCATCTAGTTCTGCACCAATATCATCATCATCTTCATCATCAAGGTCTTTGTTATCTCTTCATAAACATGATCATCATCAACAAAATTGTTATCATTATCATGATCTTTATCAATATTATCATCATCAAAATCTTTATCATTATCACCATCATGATCTTTGTCATCTAATCATAATCTTTATCATAATCATCATCATCATCTTTATTATTAACATCATTAGTAGTAGCATCATTTTCATCACCTGGATCTTAGCATCGTATTCATCATCAGCATCATCATACTCATCCGTTGGTCATAAAATCCTAACACTGAAATATTTGAAATATTATATTAAGATTTGGCTATATTGTACAGTAGTTCAGATGAGACATAATATTATAAAATGTATTATCTTTTATGCATACTTAAATTATTGTTTAAACATTTCTCCATGAATCAGGGATCAGGTTTCTATAGACGACGCCAACCTTGTTTAAGGAGTACAGCTGTCTGATGTCTCGAGGGCATACAATGTGCTTTGCTCCCTGGAACTGAAAAATAATATTATCATTATATATTTATTTTGTATTGATATTGCTTGCATTATTGTAATTGACATTATTACCCCGGTCATTGCATTAAACACATATATTCATATTCAAGCCAGTAATCAATGCCAAAGACTTCAAGCCTATCAGGTACCTATTTATCTATTGGGTGTAAAGAGACAGGAAAATGCACAAGGCGTTTGAACCTTTTGATCTCCAGGTCTTGAAAACTGAATAAACAACCTCCGCTACTCAACTGAGCGCATGAATTTTCTAGTGTTCACATTGAGTTGCAAAATGCACAATGTAACAACATCCGTCCCTTGCAACAATTACTACAACAATACATAAGCCAGGAGCAATGATTTAATGTTAAAAAAACTGAGTTTGCCCTTCAAACAATGTTATTGCTTCATCTTCATTAGAAGGAGATTGTAACGTGAATAAACATTTGCATAATATGTACAGGTAAAGTACTGAATTAACGTTCCTACAAAAGGCATTAATACCCTTTACTTACAGTACCAAAAAACTGATATACATTACACAGGACTAAATAAATCAAAATACAGATGTGCACTAATGGATCAAATTCATGGTTTGATGTTAACTGTATTGAATTGAGAACAAGTCAGGCTAAATAGGCTTTCACAAAATTGTCTTCTAACTCGTGTTAGCCATTAGCCCTCTCGCCAGGATTTTTTTAAAGAGTGGCGGAATTTCAGAAAATGTCCAAAAACTTCAGAGTGTGTTGCACAAAATTTTAAAAGGTGAATACATTTTTGGTACTACGTATGGTGTCGGATACTACGGCGCTAACATTTTAAGCATGGTGCAATCTTTGCTTATTTTTCCTAAGCGTGGCGGTCATTTATTATAGCTGGCGAGGCCCCTGAGAGATAGATATATATATG